ATTAAATTTTAAAATAAAAGTATTTATAACAATCTACTGTTATTTTCTAAAATTTATAAACATCTAAAATAATATCTGATTAAATTTTCTAAAGCCAAAAATACACATTAAACATATCATGTAAAAATATTTACATCTTCAAAACTAAATGGTGGTCGATTGGTTCCTTGTCGATTCTTAATCTTTGATCTAACTCCAGCTGGAGAAGTTTTAGTATCTTGGTAAATCCTCTCCCTTGCCAAAAACTGTCTCGCTACCATTTTCACCAATCTATTCAAAACTGCAGTCTGAGATACACGAGATTTATTTTTTTTACTTTTATTCTGTGATCCTTGCAGCTTTGCACTTGTCACATTATTCAAACTACCTGTAGTATTTTTCTTATTATTCTCCAAAGGCAATGGAGATTTAGTTGACGATAAATCTTGCTGCTTTAATGCTAAATTGGTTTTTAAAGCTTGAGAATGTGGATCTGACTGTGATTCTTTCGTGATTGTTATATAAGCTTCAAAAGGAATTGCAAATGGAACTGATTCTACTTGAGAATCTTTATCAATATTGTTTAAAGCTTCTTTTATTTTAAACTTGGAATTATTAACTTCAGATAAATTGAAAGCACTTAATTCATTTTTATCTCTTTTATTAGCTTTAGTTAATTTAGTAACTGTTGAACCAGCTGCATCTTTGTGGTCCAGAGCAAATGTATAAGGTATTAAACCATTCTCTTGTTCATGATGCTTTCCTAGATCACCAATAAATAAAGGTAAATAAGCTTCTCGATTCACTGAGGAAGAAAATAATTCATTTCCATTTGTTAACCATGAATTCCTTTTATCTAGAAGAGTGTTGGTAGTAGGATAACTTGGTGATCTTGGATTGATATTTAATTTTTTATCACTTTTATCATCACTGGAGTTCGGTAACTTGTGCAGTTTTAAATTTTCTTCTTTAGATGATATAGATTCATTGCTAGATGCTAGAGTTATGTCTATCCTAGATGCCATTGACTTCATAGCATTTTTTATCCAGCTTATTAAATCTTCCATGCTGGTGATCTTCACTGGTAGTTTGATTTCTATGTAGTTTGGAGAAGCAGGGTTTCCGTTGTGAGAAGCAGAATCTATTGGAATTGGAGTTGATGAATTTACACTAAAGATAAGAACTAATGTGGTTGATAAAAATATTGATGAAAACTTCACACACTTTATTTTAAACATTTTTATTCTTTAAATATTTATTTATAGTTTTATTATTAATGAAAATAATTAAAATAAATGTTTTAAAACTTTATTATTTTTTTTACAGTGCTTGTGACAGTTGTAGGTGTCTAGATGACAAGCAATCTGAAAGTACGAATTGGTTACGATCGTTTTATATTGTGCTGATACTTGGGCGGTACCAGGTAAAAGATAATGAAGACCCTTAGATTCTTCCTGGCAAGTATGTTATGTATGAATGCACACGGATATTTTCTACTTAAGTTATAGCATTTGAATTGGTAAGAATGCACACAATTAATAATATGCACTTCCGTTATTGCATTCGGTAGGTTTCTTTATAATATAAAAAAATAGCATTTTTATTTCAACTATATAATTTATTATGTTAATTATATCTTTGTTAACTAGGTAGTGTACTAATAGGACACCATTTAAAGATACTCTTACGTATGCTCGACATTAAACAATAGTAATTTTTAGCTAATTTCTACAAGCTTATATGATTTGTTTTTAATTTTTACTAAAAAAAATTAATTTCTTTAATTATTGAGTGTTGCCCACTAATTAAATCTTAATTGAAAATTATTCTCAAGGTTTTATATTATGAATAAAAGAAATATCTACTCTCGAAATGTCAATTTTCAATAATGAAACATTTTTTTAATATCAATTTTCTGAAGTGTTTATCGATGAAAATTTTTCCTATGCATTACCATAATGTTTTATTGAAAAACTCGTATTCCACTGTAAATTAAAAATAAGTCTTGCAGATTATTACTCAACTAAAACTTATAAAAATAAAAAGAATCATTTTTATAAACCAGTCTTTCATAAATGAAACTTCACTCAGTATCAATTATTCTCACTTAATACGACTTGATCCTAATGAAATAAATGATCGGAAAAAGTTGAACGATCGTTCAATTTCAACATGCAAATTAATATATTCATAACAAAAAGGAAAATAATATTAATAATTATTATTTAAATAGTTAAAAACAGAATATAGATTAAAATAGAAAAAAAAGAAAAAGAATAATCAAATCAGTGCAAAACTGAACAAAGAATTCATGTATGCCCAAATTTTTAAATAATATTTATTAAATATAACATCTTAGTTTCTTTGCATCATCTTTATACAGCAAAAATGGAAACATAATTTAATTGAATGTTGAAAGGGACTAGAGCAAAAAGAAGAGACTTTGCCTAAAAGAAATAGCTAGACAGCATTTACATTCATAAGTAGATACAGACATGGTCAGACCCTTTACCTGAAACGACCTCGACCGCAACTTCAACATTTTTTTAGACCAATTTCAAATAACCACTCAAAATACAGGTATTTTATTATTAAATATTTTTTTAACTCTGTATTTATACCCAAAGAGATTGTATTAAATCTTAGCAAGTTCTTTCCACCAATTTTTGTCTATGGAAGAATTTTAAAAAATATGGTTATCAACCTCATAATTGTTGCATAAAAATATATTAAAAATAAAATTGATTTATCCATTTACATTTTGTACTCTACATATATTTCAAAATAACTTCAATGATCAAGTCAGTCAGATAATTTTGACTTTGGGTTTTTCTATTAAAAAATGACCTTCCTAAATCTAAACCCTGAATTGACCTGGAACCAAATATTCAAGGAAATCATAAATGATACAACCTTGAAATACTTGCATTATTTCTACTAAATAAATCTTCCAATTTTATTTCTAATAAAATAAAATACAGCAAAAGATAGCATACCAGAGAAATTTTATAGTTAAATTTCTGTTAAAAAGCTAAATTAGTTTTAGGTTTCAGCATAATTTAATAAAAACACTGTAGTCAAAACTTCAAACGGGATTCCTTCTTGATTTGAATAAACGTCTATAAGAGGCTTATTAATGACAGGGATTTTCCTACTGATTTTCTACTTTAGGCATGAATGAGTATGCTTGACAAACAGACATTCCAAATCTCTTACGAAATGTAAACATTCATCACAATCCATTCTAATCATTTTCAATTAATTGCTAACTTTAAAACCAATACTTCCTTTACTATCAATGTAATAAATATAATCTGATTAATTAAACTAATTAATCAAATAAATTACATCTTAATTTACTGAAACGAGACAACAATTATCAGATGAAAGAACTTTTTTATTCAATAATTTATTCATAATTACAAGAAAGAGACAAAAGAAACAGGAAGACAATTACTGTCGTTTCTTCCTTTAAAGTGAACTACTGAACATTCTAAGACAGATGGGAAACATAAAGCTGTCTTTATTAGTAGCAATAATAATACTGTGATTGACGTATATTTTGTAAAATTATAGATACCTAGACAAATTAACTGCTAATCGTGATTATTATTGGTAATAATGTTTTATATGGAGTGTCACTAGAAGGGAAATTGGTAAATAAGTGTATTGCTGAATAAGTTCCTTAAATAATTGACGAATTAAATAAGAAAACGTTTTCTAGAAAATTGGAAAGATATAATGTTATGATTACACGAAATTTGTCCTAGTCAATGATGAAATAATAGATTATGCTTATATTTTACCGGATGTGCTGCTTATAGAGCATAAAGAGCAAAAGTTCCATTACATGGTTCTGTACTATTTTTATAAGCAGCATCAAGGTTTGGAGATATTTATTATGATTGAGATATAGATGCTGAACACTTGGAAAGTATTTTGAGTAAAAGTATTTTATGTGCTGTAATTAAACACTTTCATGGTACTCATTTTACCAGTATTGGGAATAATATTGAGCAAGAGTATTTGTCTTTTCAGTTAAATACTTTTTTTTTAAATATTTGGATTGATTTTATAGCTCTTTTTACAAGTATTTAAAATTTTTTATTAATTAGTAAATGCTATTTATCTTATTTTTATAATTACTCTTTTTGATCTTAAGCCGAAAGGTTTTCTGTAATATTTGAATTTTTATTTAAGTAGAACAAACAGTCAAGATTTTTCCCACGTCTATAGATTTACTTTTGTAAAATTCCAATGATTAATTAAATATTAACTTTTTTCCGTAAAAGGATCATTGTTTTATTATTATATAATTTGAAAAAAAAATTATTCTTCAAAGCTAAAGTGTTTCTAATTAATCTAAAAAAATTGTTATTTATATAAATGAGTCAACAAAATATTCATTTTCGTTTCTAAACATGATCTTTTGTTTCATTAATTCTTAAATTGAATCTCAAAAAAAGTTATTGGAATATTTTTTTCATCAATTTTAATTACTTATAATTAAAGATAAATTAAACCAATGCTAAATATTAACTCAATAATTAACCATTTTTGTTTGAATAGTTTTTCTATAAAAGACGGTCAAAATGTGATGTCAACATGTGTGTTTTGATCATAACATGGTAAGTTTGTGGAAGAATTATTATTGTCAATTTTTGAATTTTTTCCCAGTGAATCATCATATAGTAAGGATTAATCTTTAAAGTAAAGACCAAATGCTGGAGACAATAATCTATTTCATCAAATATTTACCAAGCAACGAAATGTTAACTGAAAAATATTAAAATGGGAGTTTAGAAACTGGCATTTTAATTGAACGATAACAGAATATTAAATGAATTAAAATGACAATAATTAAAAGCATATATTGTAATGAAACTTGATTCTAAAATTGAAAGGATAATAAAATCTATGTCAATTCATTTTTCATTGATTTAAGATACTTCTTCTTCCTTGAAATTTCTCATCAAATTGCACATCCAAGTAAGTGTACCGCAGAAAAGGTGGTGGCTGTAGCTCCTTCTGCTAATAAAAGCCGCTCACTAGGCGCCGTCAGATATATTATAATACAAACAGTCGCAAAGTAAGAGCACAGGAGCACGTGAGCTCCAGTCTACAAGACATATATTCAAATTTTAACTCTTCCGGTATTTCATGTGTGGTAAGTGGAACTTCATCTCTAGCAACACCTTTCTTCAGCATCTTTACATTTCCAGTTCTTTACAATTCCCTTTCTCCTCACTTTTTAAAAGACGTTTCTTTCATTTTCATGTTTTACTATTCTCACTTATGTTAATACATTACAGATTGGTCTTGGATAACAGTGCAGCCACAGTGAAGTGAGAAAAAAAGTTTTTAATATTTTTCATCGCAAGGTGCCCAAAACCATGAGGTCGATTGAAATTATTCTAGTGGCTGGATGTGTAATTACTCTTGCTAATTCACTTCCAATCTCTGAAAGAGATCTTACTCAAACTCAGGTAAAGAAACTTTTTTATTTATTAATTAAGCAAATTATAGTAATTTTTTTCACTTAATAAGAAAATTATTAAAAATTAATTTTTAATTTAGTTAAATAAAGGTTTTATTAACATTATTTAAGTGTCACACAATGCTTATCTTTTAAACTTTCACTCCCATACCATGGCATTCTCTCGATGACATTTTATTTGGTATATTCTTTGGATATATATTGCTTCCTCATTACTTTCGATTATACACACTCTTAAATTAATGAGAGAAGTGATTTAATCGTTCAGCAAAGTGTTTGGTTTTTGATCAGACACCGAAAAAAATGCAAATTGATATTGCATAAATTTTTACTTAATTTTTTTGAGTGAATATTAATCAAGTGAATAAAATGGTGAATTACCAACAGTACTTTAATATCAAGAATTTTAAATTAATAATTTTTTTTAATAACACTAATTATTATCAGCAAAGATTGCAAAGTGTTTCATAAAACCTTCAACCTTACTCTCATTTTTATTTCTAAACGTTGGATGCATACTATTTACAAGACAATATTTAGAATTTCATTTTTTATTTGTAATTTATTTAGAATTGAGTAAGAACCAATATGCTCTTAACCTTCGTTTTTTTTTTTCTTATCCTCGTTCTTTGTTGTTACGTAATTTAGATATAAGAAACATTTTTGATCAGTAAAGTAACAATTAGAGGCACTTTGCTGATCAAAACAATTTTTTACTGAGTCGTCAAATCAAAAATGAGTCTATAATTAAATTAATTTGATTGAATTTTCAGCCAGTAGGTGATTTAGTTCTTATTAACGAAAATGAAGATCCAACGTTGCTAAGAAGTAAAAGAGCAATCAATTTTCTAAAACGGTTATTCCCACAAATACCGCAGGTAAACTTATTTGATATTTATTGAGTTGTATATAAAGTAATTTACACTCAAGTTCTACGATTCTAATATTAAAATCCTTATAAGGGAACTGGTTTAAAAAAAAAAAAAAGTAAAATAAATAACATTTTTCTCTACATGAAGGTTGCATTTAAATCAGTTCAGCATTAATTTATAAATGAAAAAAAAATTACTGAGAAAAATGAATAAATATTAAATAACTCCTTTTAAATGTTTTCAGAATATCGATCAAGAAGTGAAAAATGAAGTTCAAGAGGAAGATGCAATTGAAATAAGTCCATCAGAAAATAATGAAGTAAAAGTACCATATCAAGATGCAGATGAAGCAGCTAATGAAGCTGTTCAGTCAGAATTGACACCTCTAGAGAATATTGAAGTCGGTGATGATGAAAACAGAAATAAAAGATCAGGCAGTGAAAATAGCGGTGGTTCTGGAAATTTCCTCTTCGACATTATCAGAGTACGTTAATTATACCTGTCTATCATTCTCACTTTCGATAATATATATGATCAAATATAAAATTATATCAAATGATGAATGATTATAATATGAAAGCATATTTTTTGTAGTTAATTACTAGTAGCGGATCATCATCAGGTGGTGATAATAGCCACTGCTCGAACTGTGATGGAGCTGGAGCAAAACATGAGCCAGATGAAGCTGTTCCTGGACCTGCAACCAGATTTTTAGTTATTGCAAATCGAGGACTTTCAAATCTTATACAGGATCTAATTCTCGTAAGATTATCCAACGTATCATAAACCAACTAATTGATTTTTCTGCAGAATTTATTCAATCTGTCGAGCCAGGAAATCATAATTCATATTGACACGTCAGTAATAGCGAATAATTTTTTTTTACAAAGCACATAGTAGTGCTAACAAGTATTGGCTAGATTGATTGAGAAATATATATTTGAAAGTACATAATGAAAATTAAAGTAAAAACCTGTAATCTGCTTGTTAAGAAAATATTAATTAGATGCTGCTGGATTGATTATCAGTTTTTATAAAGTCTGGAGATATTCAACTCTTGAATGTAAGAGCAATGGACTCGACCGTTCTACATATATTAAACATGAATTGTGCAATAATATCAAGTGGAATTGATGAAAAGCAAAAATGTGGCATGACTTTCTCTATGAAATAGCGCGTTTGATCATGAAGAAGGGGGATACGTTACATAAGAGAAACCACTTTACTGCTATAAATGTTTTACAACTACACATGAACTGGAAGGAAAAGGGATAAAACTGGCAGACAGATTGAATAAAAGATAAAAATTAAAAATGTTACAGTTTTATGATCGACATTATTGTTGCTTTTATTATGACGATTTTTATTATTTTTCAGCGTATTGCAGCAACCAGCGAGCGCTTCGTAAACTTCAAGGCACGACTGATTACATCCATTATTTAAATTAACAGTACTGTCCAATTTAAATTTATGGATGGTATGTAGATAATCATTAGAGAACTCCAATAATATTTATAATAAAGAAAAAATAATTCAAATCGCAAGAATGACGTTTGACGACCCATTTTCGTCGTCCCTTGTTCCTGCGATTTTGAAAATGCCCTTTGCTCATTCAATAATCATTAAAATATTATTACAATCAATCAAGTACTTTTAAAAAATAGACTTATAATTAAGCATAACAGGATTTCATTGCAAGCACTGCCATACAAATTCATTGGTGCATGGAGATTTGAGAATGTAAAACTAGTTTATTATTTGTATTGCTCTACAATTAATAGTTTAATTGCTCATTAATTAATTCATAATATGATAATATAATCAAATCAACGACATTATTTTTTACTCTTTACAGTGAATGATATAATGAATTTTTTCTTTGTCTTTTGGCGTTAATTTATGCCAAATGACAGATGAAAAATTGTGAATGTAAATTTGTCATTTATGATTATTGTTATTGTAAATAAATAATGTTATTACAGTAAAAAGTGAATTTATTATCTAATGATTGATTCTATTGCTTTCATTTATGAGAGATGAATAAAAAATTTTCAGTTTATATGATAACTTACCTACTAATGGTAACGTCTATTTCTATAAGTCAATCAATTTTGTTGATAAATATTTTTTTACCGTTTTCTTATTGTACTATACATAGGTATTTTACCCACTATTATTGTCTATTATCGATAGACTTTATCTTGAAAAAAAAAAAAACTTGAAAGAAAATAAAACGGCTATAACTGTCGTAATAACATGAAGGATCAACGCCATTAAAAATTTTTTTTTGACACTGCAGGTGCTACTGTCAAAATTCGTGTGACGAAGAATTCATCAGAGCGTAAATGAAAAATGAAAATAATTACACCGGATCTGTTAAAGAGTCATCATGCATATATAAATACAATTTTAAGTTCATAATGAATTATGCTGAATTAAATTGTTTTGTCCAACAAATGAATCATTTTTAGTTCATTAGATTAAATTAAAATTTCAAAATTCAGTTTAAAAATATCATTTTTATAAATTATTATTCAGTTAATCACAGAAAGGAGTTAATAATTACGTTTACATCTTAAATAAGTTTTGCTCCAATAATAAAGAATTCAAAAAGTATTAATAATCCAGAAAAGAAAACGTGAAAACAAAAAAATAATCTGTTGCAATTAAAAGATGTTAATTACTGTTTTGTCATTTGAAATGAAAAATTCATAATGTCTGTTTTAATGTAACAAGAATTAAAAGATAATTAAAACTGTTGAATAGAGTTTTTGTTAAAAAAAAGGATAAAACATACCACCGGTGATTCAATCATTCATTATTTAGACATTTTTTACTTTGAGTAGCCAATGTTGTAGCTGACCTACAAAAAAATTAACATGTGTTGACAAATTTTTTGAGTTGAAAATTACGTATTACATAAACCAAACCATTAACCAGATAAAGATTGATAATTAATAAACAGAATATACTAAGAATACAAGCTGATTTTATGACAAATCTCTGAACTTGGTTATTCTGTCAGCTATGATGAAATATGGATACTTGAAAAGAGGTGTATGACCCGAATACTTCAGCTAAACTGGAGTTTTGTATCATTACATAATTTGATAGATGTCTGAAAAGTAGAAAGAAGAGAAAGCTGTTGGTATATTCGAAATACGACCTCGATGGTCCAACTGTTATTGCTAGTCACTTCGATATACAACAAGCTCCAGATAGGATTTGTATGGTTAAAAAATTCTTTTCGGTCACTGACCTATTCATTCTCCCCCTGAATGATTTTACTTTTTTGTCCTTCGAATTCCACTTCAGTGCACGTCGATAACTTTTATATTATTTTCTGTATGGTAGTCTTCTTTTACCAGTAATCTTGATGACTTTAATCTCTGACTGTCAGAATTGGTAACAGCTAGATGTTTATTCTGCTCTACGGGTTCCTCTACGTTCCCAAGCTGACCTGAATAATCTAATTATAACTAATCACATCATATTGGTTTTTAAAAATAAGCAGCTTATAACTGGAAGTATTGTTTATTAATAATAGTTTGTAAGTTTTATATTTAATTTCGTAGTAACTCACTTTCTTTCATTTTCAGAAAAAATTTCATTGAAATAAATATTATTGTTGTCAACAATTAGTATATCAGTATAGATATAATCAAATTCAATAAGATTTAAAACCCATTAAGTTTAAATATTTCTTTAAATCTGCTTCGTAACGAATACTATATTATTTGTACGTTACATAAATGATTTAATCAATACTTGAAATAGTTGATCTAACATATAAATGTTCTCCTGTGACTTTCTGAAAAAGTATAGTTGAATAAATTGATTTCAATAAATTAATATGAAAAAATTCTTTTTAAATAAAAGGTCAAACGTATTGTATAATATTGTTAATATACTTACATTTTCATATATAATAGTTCTATTAAATTTTTAAAGAACTCTTAATTATTTTAATTATTTATAGGTTATAATATTCCATCATGATGATGTATTTATTTAAATACAGTGCATCTGAGAAAAAAAAAAATTATGATTAAAAATAATATTTTTTTTCTTTTTTCGCTATTTCAGTGCATGTATTTTAGTTTTAACGACGATTACGAGTTCTAAGGTCGTTGTGGTATAGCTTAAAACAAGTTGCGTTGAGATTGGTCAAGGTACAACATCGCTCTAGACCGTTCCCCACTATTCGATCTACTCCCCACTAGATACAAGCCTCCCTCCACAAAACTACAACGCAGACAGCAACCTGCATTACACTTCTACTCCTGCTGTGTATTTACTACTACATTGATGAAGTATGGCCACGATCCCGACCCCGTCATATACATATACACAACACAATACGACAGAAAGCCAATGTATAAGTATATATATATTACATGTACAGTTAAATATGAATATACAAACCCATACACTAATAAAACACCCCAAGTTCCCTACATATTAATGGAGATGTAGGTTGGAAAGTATTTGTGTGCTCTCTTTTTTTTATAATCCCTCATCCTGCTCCTGGTTTAACCACGGGTTTATTCTAGGCAGGAGAAAAGATCGTTTTTCCTTTCTCCCTAACAGCCTCACCAATTTCGTAATACGAGGGGCTAAAAACTTATCATCCAAAAAATACTACGCAGAAGATTATTTTGTTAAATGCATAGTTTTTCCAATTATTTAACATCAATCAAGATTATATGAAGAAAAACTTCCCAAGCTCTATTTATTATCTGGCTCCACGTGGATTTAATTATTTTATATATACTGAACTAATAATTTGTATGAGAATCTGACATTGAAGTTATACCAATCCAATAAAGAATAAGGATTCTTTTTTTTTAATTTATATTTTTAACGAAAATTACAAACCACAATATCGTTGATTAACCATAGTTAAAGATAATGACGTCACTTCAAGGATAATGCACATGGTTTAAGTGACAATGTAAGTATGTATAATGTAATAAACAGTACAGAGTGAGAAAGAGAGATAAAGGAACGAGAGAGAGAAAAGATAAAAAGAGAAATGAACACGCACGTATAGTAGTCCAATGCCCCTACGTCAGCGGTTGCTGATGAGGGTTTCGTCTGTCTACACGTGCAACCGCTCCACTAGGTCATTGCTCTGATACTCTGAGTTGCTTCTCAGTCAAGTATAATATTGTTATAGATATTAATACTGCTCGACACGTGTCTACAGTTTTTTAGTTAACATACGATGAAAATTATAACCAGTCTTTTTTATTATACCTTCAATCCCTTAGCCTACTTATGAAATCTAACATACTTAATCTACATGACATATGCATCAAAAAAGTTCAATATATTCCATATATTTGCTCGTTTTGCTACAGGCACTAGAACAATCACGCAAGTGTTAACATATTGCACTTTCACCTTCTCAAGAAATATTATTAATTTTTTATTTCATATATTGTGTATTACTGAACCATTCAAACAGAAACTTGACTTCAAATATACATTGGGTATTATAATTTTAATGATTTTCAAGGATACTATGTCCTTTTAACACTTTCAAATGACACCGCTGTCCAAATTTGCGAGTTTAATGATTAGTCACATATTATTCTTTAAGCATAATCACATATACTAGCATATATGAATATTCAAAAGTTAATTATGTATGTGTGCATCATTTAAAAAAATGTCACTCTATGTATTGGCAATGTTGTTAATATTAACATACAGCATCATATGTTGCGATACTTATCAGATAAGTTTTTAAGAAATTGTCAATATTTTTATACGATTAAAATATATGTAAAAGTATGTATTTATTTATATTCGTTTTCAGGTACCATGAATGATATTTAATCTGCAAATAATTATAAAAATTGAAAATAAATAATAAATGTCTTGACGTATTCAATGAATTTATCCTCATTACATACATACCTCTTCATTTACAAACCTTTCGGGGGATAATTAATTATGTTACTTAATCACCAATAAATATCACTTTAATCTGAAACAAATATGTAAACTATTTAGGCATTTATTTTAGGCGTATAAACATATGTATAATGCATCGTATACAAAATAATGTTATATAGGCTACTACATGTACTCGGTCATTGATGTGAGGCAATGACGTACAACGATAAGAGAAACTTTATTTATGTACATGGTATATAGATACCCACTATTTTACATATGTAAAATTAAAGTACATCTGCAAAAGAACTGGTACAACGTTGATTAAAAAAAATTAAAAAATGTTAATAAGACCTAAGAGGAGAAATAAGTGAAATCGAAATATGTATGACACGAATAAAAATTATGATAAACATAAATAAATGCAACACGAATATAATTACACGCATATTATATCGTAGATGATCACCGAAATATTTTCAGAGCATATAATTAATAATGGAAACAATATGATAAAATTCTAATTTGTAGGTAAGCACTTACCTATCTCATTTTCTATATCTAATCTTACGCTTATGCGATAATTTCTCTGAAGTTTATAGGTCTGTATGTATGAATATTATGGATGAATAATGCATCTGTGAATGCACGCGTCAAAGGCAGTTTTACCCGTAGGTCATCGTGTCCTCTGTACTTTTCTTTTTCTCTTACCTCATATTTCCTTGTCTTTCTCTCCACTACAGTATATCTGTATATAAAATACAAGTGAGTAAATATATCTATATACATGTTGAATCGACTATGCCCTCTATCGTCTCTTTTCATCATGTGAATTAAACGACGCCTATCTCTGTCACGGTCACACGCGCGCTGAACGTAGAAACCACGACGACTGCCTCCACGTGCTGCCTCAAGCTGCTTCAGTCGTCCTAAATTGTAGGTCGCGTGGAGCAATGGTTGTCGGCAAGGGGAACGAAGAGTGAGAAGTCTCTTTATTGGTACGGAAGTGGGGACGGGAACTCGAGACAGAACGGGCTCATGCTTCGACTACCATCGGTAACCTCCGCTTATGCTCGTCGTGAAGTAGGAGGTAAACATTATACAGTGTGATTGGTCATCCTTGTGGGTCCTCAGGTTTTTCTTGTTTTCGATCTCAGTTTGGCTCTGGTAAATTTACGGAACGCTATGTAAAGTTGTGAGAGATCATTCGTTTCGTGTTAATAAACAATCTTTTTATTTAAACTTAACATTTAATATAACAATTAATAATATTATAAATTATTATGCAAAAAGTGATGAAAGTCAATTTTAAGTGAAAGTGTAAAAGAAGAATCAAATTTAAATAACAGGTATGATTTTTTGTTATATATCACACGAAATTTCAGTTGATTTAATTAAATCTTATCTTTAATTCAATGTTAGTTTTAACAGGATTTTAAATTACTTGTAGTTAAAGAGTTTTTCTTTTGGATGTTAAATTTACGGTAGTTTATGATCTAATGAATGAATAATAATAGCCATTTTTTTTTTTTTTTAGTATTTACGTATAATTTGGATTTAAATATTTATTAAAAATTACAAATGAATTTATAAACTAGTTTTTTAATAGAAAAAGCTTTAAATCTATTTATATAATGTAAAAATTCTTTGTTAAATGATTGTCATTCTTGTAAAATTGAAATATTTCATTAATCCATTTAGTCACATTTATTACATATAAATTTTCATATATAAATAAATAAATAAATAAACAAATAAATATATATACAGATGTATATATATGCATATTGTCATACAAATAGATACACATAAGGATACATACGCGTGTGTATCTATACATATGTATATAAAGTTTCTAAATAACGCGCATCGTTATGGCGCAGTCGAAATTTCCCCTTCGTTAGGACCCTCGATTTGTACACGGCGTGCCATGAGGCATTTTGGGGACGATCGATAATATTTTCGGGGCAGGCGCGCGTCTTTACGCAGCGCAAAAGTAAGGGCAAAAATATTTTAAAGTAAAGAAAAATTTAAAAAAAAAATTAGATTTTTAAATGTCAAATAGAAAAGCAAATTGAATATTGTATACTCGTAGTACCGGGGGTACTATTCTGTGATGTAACTTGACGTCCTTACCACGCGTCGAGTTGCACGAGGTCGGTGATCGCTATAAAAAAATGCGAATAGTACACGTGGAGGCAGTAGTACGTGGTTGCCGTCAAGGTGGAGGCGTGCCGTAATGCCCGTGACCGCAACCGCCGACCACATGCGACTGCCTCCGCTGTTTGTTCAACAACAAGCGGTGCGCGTGTAAGCCCTCGACATTAATAAAATTGTGGTGTTCGCGATCATATCGAGATTATAATAGAACGTATTAGATATAACTTATAGCTATTGGCTTTATCACACTCAAATATTATTTTTAACAATAGATGGCTTAAAGATAAAAAGTACACAATGAAAAATTTATTTTTATCATTATCAGCATATCCATAAAGTAGTAATTAATTGGAATATTTAATTTGTAAATCTAATTAAAAGGTATCAGTCTTAATAAACATTCATACATTATTTTTTCTTTGTCTAATTCATGGTTGACGTAATTATTGAATTGCCACATACATATGCATGAGAACCGATATCAAATAGGATAGTTTGAACTTTCAAATATGATCAGAGGATTGAGCCATCTATATCATCGATTTTATTGATAAGTTGTAAGATGATTAAGAGCTTACATTACATCATTACTCCAATTCAGAGTTCATGATACTTTTTTATTCAATAATCAAACTTTTAACTTTACTCTATATTGATAAATAATTTACTTATTGAAGTTTACTCTAAACACTTATAACTTATTTTATTTATTTAGTTTTTTTGGTATTTGTTTTTTACAGGAAGCAACGTCAAAAGAAGTCTAAATAATGGTTGGATACTATCAAACAGAACCAATATCTGCTGGGAGAACTGATACGTCTCAAATGTGTTCAATGGCAAACGTAGTACCAACCCTGGAGATGATGAAGCCTATTAAAAGTTTAGTCTGTAGTCCAGATCTCAGTGTATTTGCATCGTCCACAACAGATAATCTTGCGGAAAATAATCCAGATAAATCATACCAATGTCTATTGTGTCAAAAGAGTTTTGACCAAAAGAATGTTTATCAAAGTCATCTCCGTTCTCATGGTAAGGAAGGTGAAGATCCATACCGCTGCAATATTTGCAGTAAAACATTTGCTGTACCTGCAAGATTAACTAGACATTATCGTACACATACTGGTGAGAAACCTTATCAGTGTGAGTATTGCAACAAGTCATTTTCGGTGAAAGAAAACCTCAGTGTGCATCGTAGGATTCATACAAAAGAACGCCCTTATAAGTGCGATGTATGTGAGCGTGCATTTGAACATAGTGGGAAGCTCCATCGACACATGAGGATACACACAGGCGAACGTCCACACAAGTGTTCTGTATGTGCTAAAACATTTATTCAAAGTGGCCAGCTGGTAATTCATATGCGCACCCACACAGGTGAAAAACCTTATGTTTGTAAGGCGTGCGGCAAAGGATTCACCTGCTCAAAACAACTTAAAGTTCATACACGAACACATACTGGAGAGAAGCCCTATACCTGTGACATTTGTGGAAAATCTTTTGGATACAATCACGTCCTAAAACTTCACCAAGTAGCTCATTACGGTGAAAAAGTTTACAAGTGTACTTTATGCCATGAAACTTTCAATTCCAAAAAGACAATGGAATTACATATTAAAACACATTCTGACTCGAGTTCAACTTCACCACGTGATTCACCTATCGAGCCAGTAATTGAGATATCTCAGAGCACTAATTCAAATATTAATTCCGTCAGTAGTAATAATGATGTTAATAGCGTCACCAGTAGCAATAGTAGCGACAAAGAGAATAAGACTGAAGAGTTAAGCGCTCAAACTCAGGCTTATATGCACACACGAGACTTTTCTTACTACCTCTATCCAAGGGAGCAGTATAATCAAAGTCCTCCTACAAATTCTGCATCAGGTGTTCCAGCACTTTTAGCAGCAGCAGCGGCCGCTGCTGCTGCTGAAGATCGATCGTTGTTCCAATTATCAACGACCACTACTACACCTGGAAACTTATCAGCAGATTCGAATCACGTTTTTCTCTATCCAGAAGTATCATCGGCCTATACATCTTACAATCTTCAAATCAACGACGTATCGAGTGTCAATGAATCGCCATCGCTATTGAACTTACCAGGTAATGATGCCAGGCGAAGAGTTGAAGCAGCACTTGAAGCAGTTGAAGAACAAACTTTGAGAGCGTATGAAGATGCTGGAATAATAGAGGTAGTTAGTAGACAACCTATTCTTACACCGCCAAGTAGTAATCCAGTCAGCCCAGCACCATCTCCAGATCCATTAGATCTTGCAATACCAGTGAGAGAAACACTCATACTTCCACCGCGCAAGCGTTGTAAAATGATCCTGGAATCAATGGAAAACGAAAGGACAGAATTAGTAACTCAAAGACACAGTTCTGTAATTCAGTTCGCTCGTGCTTCTTAGTATTCTCATAGCAATAATGGTGGCCAATTCATTACCTTAATTAATGAACACGTCACAAATAATTGCAAACATTTCACCAATACTTTTTGCCGCGTTTAGTATTAGATTTCAAAATATATATCGTGCCGAATAATCATTAAATATTATAAATCATTATTCGATTACAACTACGGAATTAACTTCAATATAACACTTGCTATTGATATTATAATTTTTGTTATTATTACTACTACTATTACTGTTATAGTAAAGAAAAGATATTATTGAATTTAAACATACAAAAATAGCGAGAATATTTAACTACATATTTGCATATATATATAGATATAAATACATACATATATCATTTTAATCATCATCATCAGCATATTTTTATTCTATTAAGTAAAGAGAATAAAAGTATAAAATAATTGACATCTCTGTGATAACAACTTCATACTACCTGATTATTGAAGGTAGTTGAGCCCACTGCCAGTACAAGAGTAAATAATTATTTCTTAATATAGTATTCCATATGTGAGCACACAATGTTCGTATGATATTTTATTCATACTTATGACATACTATTATTGATTTTAAATAAAAAAAAATGATAGTAGTAATAATGATAAAGATGATAATAATCATAAGGTGTTATAGTGGAAATTTAAATTTAAAATAAACACACAAAAAATCATGTGTTTCTTCTATAATATATATATATATATATATATATATATATAGATATATATATATATAAAACGTTTGTATGTGTGTCCACATAGCCAATTATTATTATAAATATTTATCGATAACGATCATAAATAATAGCGTAATGGACTGATTACGTATGTAATATTAAATCATAGTACATATATACATTGATATCTTCCTAATTCAAAAAAAAAGTTACAATTTAAAACAAAAGAGAAAGAATTGAGAAATACTTTAACATCATTACTCATCGTACCGTGCAGTGCCTCAATGACATCTCCGTTGATTCCATAAAAGAATAGAAGATCACGGATAAAACCAAATGTTGCGTTTTTAGTACTACATATGTTATTAACTTGTCATTATAACGTAGAACTTTCCGAAAATTACTCAGGAGTATTTCAAGAATAAGAGGGTGTTTAAATACTATTGTAAACTTAAATATATTAAGAATTTAATTAATCAAGTATCATAGTTCTCACGGTAAATATTCTTATTCGATGCAATCATTGAATTCTTCAATGTTACAATCGTGCATAATAGATATTTTGTTATTATAGATATATTATTATTATCGTATTATCTGTTACATCACTTGAATTTACTCTGTATATTATTTATTTACTTTCTATTTATTTTATTATTGATAATTTTATTTGTTTTTTTTCTCTATTTGTTTAAAATAGTAATAACATTATTAGTTAAATACGAACTAATAGTTTTATTATTATTTTATAATGTGATGAAAACATTAGGAGCTAATATGAATGAAATCATTTTTATAATTTGTTAAATTTTATTATTCATTATATTTGATTGGATATTATTCACAAACATATGAGATCAAATACGTATATCAAAAACAGTGTTTTTAAATCATTATTATCTTTTTAGATGAACTTGATGTTTTAATTATTTTTGAAAATTTATTTTGATTTTTTAAATTTTAAATATGCCCGAAGCATTGAAGAAAAATAAATAATTATATAAAAATTTTTTAAGTTAATAATACGTCATACTTAAAAAAAATCGTTTATCATACAAAAATGGTCATTTATGGTATAGTGAATACGTTATTATAATTAAGATTATGATGAAAATTATTATTATTATTATTATTACTATCATAGTAACTATTATCATTATATTTAATAATTTTATTAAATTAATAATAAAATAATGTGTGTGTTTTGTACGTGTCTGCAATAGTGTATGGTTCCTGTTTGTGCGTTGTGTATTATATGAATAGGTATATATTAATATTCTTATGAAGCGCATGTTATTATTGTCGGCAAACAGCAGGTTTAATTATTAATATTATAACTATTATCATCTATTCCTGAGAGTATATTCAAGCCTATTTAGTATATAGTTAATTATGTATTAGTTTATAGTGAATTGTATAAAAAGTTTTATGTTATCGAGGTATTTTCTAGTTCATACAAACAAAAATGATATAAGAAAAAAATTTGCTATACACCTCAATTTCAACGTGATTGTGTGTTGTTACGTTATTATTATTTTTTGTATATAATTTCAAAGAAACAGATCATGTATTTAAATTCAAAAAGGGTTGTCTGTTGGTTATATGTATGTACGGGACCTATAGTAAAGCTGATTTATTATTAATGAACGTACATCATGGATTAGCACACACGTGCTAACTCCTTACTGCAATGAAAACTCGTACTAAAAAATTAATAAACAAATTATAAGTTATAATCATAGTTTTAAATTTCTTAATTTTACCCGTTAAATCAAGAAACAGTTGGAGCCAGAAGTTTTTTTTTGTGATAAACCATTTTTATCTATTTTTTTTAATGTAGATATTATTTTGTTGATAAAAAAAACGGAGAAAAATAATTTTATCATATCTCCAAAATTCTATAATAGTATCTATGTCAAAGTCAATAAAAAACTTCTTCAAATATAGGTATGTTTAACAAATATAGGTGTATCAATCTCAATACTTGTATCAATCATGGCCATATATTGGAGTATAGTAAAGAAAAGGACTGATGCTATGTGATTTCGTAATCCCAAAATTATTTCCAGATCAACAAGCGGTTATTATGAGCGATCTGAAAATAACGTCACTGTTGCTTGTCGAGAAGGTCTATTTCCGGATCATAAAATTCCATGATATGATAGGCCTTTTTTGCTTTTGTAGGATTCAGCATGGTAGCTTCATTTTATTAAAGGCTTTTATGTTTACACGTTGAAACGACTATTCGTTCTATAAGCTTACTGTAGATCATTCTTCTTACCTTCCTTACTCCTTTTTTTCTGATTTTCTCAATACCCCATCAAATTTTAGGGAGATTGAGAGCGTTGACCTCCAAGCCCACCAAGAGGTAGGCCAGCAACGATGTGTTCACAAACTTTCCCTTGTCCCACACATTTTTTCCTTTACCTCGTTCGTTGTCCTTATCTCCCTGCCTTTCTTACCGAATTCTCTCGATGGTCTTTGCTCAACCTACAATCGACGGTCTCTTTTAAGTGCGTACTTCTAATTCCATCAATTCTGGATCTTAGATTCTTTATAATTTGTTAACTCACCAGTAAACATTAGTTCGTTGAACTTGATGATTTTGAAGTCGTTTAGAAAATCTTAGTTAATGGTTATCTGTAACAACAGAGATGTATCATCAGTCATTTATTATCTTTGGTACACAATCAGAAAGTTCTTAACAAAGAATCTGAATTACATAATAGTGATTTTGATGTTTACAAAAATAGGAGTTGTTGAGAGCTTTTATACTTTGATTACGACCATGATACTGAATTTATTGAGTAATGACCAGTTTTATTCAATAAATACCAGTATTTTTAAAGTAAAGAATTTAAAAAAGTGGTCAGTGAATAAACGTTACATACAATTTTTAGAGTTATGTAATTCTGATTGAACACTAACATATTTTTATATTCATTCATGATATTTTTTAACCTTTTTTTTAGCTTTTTAGCCTCAAAAGGAAATATTTTGACTTCAAAAATTCATTTCGAAAACATATTATTTATTTATTCAATGTTTATATTGAAAAAAATGTAAATTTTTTACATATTTTATTCATCCAATCACTAGTTAATTTCAATTAGTTATCAACAATTTATCATGGATATTCATTAATCAAAAAAATATTTTATTACGTTTATATTAGGTAAAGTATTTTCATTATTAAAATTAAGTATAAAATTAATAATAAATTTGTCTAATTAATTTTTGTCATGTAAAATATGATTACGTAGGTAAATTAATTTTTAATTTCATCGACAAATTACCGAACACTATTTTTGATTATTGACAATCAATAAAACACTGATCTGCATTACCGATAGAGCAATATGTCTCTTTTCGTTATCAAGCGATCGTGTGACGTCATTTCCGATGAATGTCACAAAGGCGCTGTAGTCAATGAAAGGAAATTCACACACCCGTTTGCAGTCGCCATTTTCGTTTTATTAGAGCAGGCCATTGTGAGAAGGGTGAAAAACTCAAAGGATCCTGACGATTCCGGAGCAACGTGAAGCCAGCAGAACTACAGCCTCGTAAAAGGAAATATTTTATTATATTATAATATCTTAAAATAATATTATAATCGAGCCGTACGTCACTATAAAATCAATCACTTCATTATATCATATATCGTGGACGTCTGCTAATGCGTGGCATTTCAGAAAACTCTCCAAGTCGTACAATGGCGGAGGACTTGGATGTTGAGGCGATGCTGGAGGCACCTTATAAAAAAGGGGTAAGAATTTGCTATAAAAATAATTATTATGATTGAATTTCTTGACATGCAACTTTATATAGTTGAGTCGCTTTATTTTTCTTTTTTTAATTGATCAATTCCGTTTCAAATTAAAATGTTTGACTACTACGCGTCCTTATTATTGTGGACGCGATGATGACGACCATAAATAATTGATGTCGTGTTGTTTTCGTCATGTTAATATTAAAATTAATAATGATAATATATGACAATATTATTTAGCAATAATAATAATATGATATATTTTTAATAACTCTAGTTCATATATATGTGTATAAAAAAAAGAAATATTAGACAGAACCACACTGCAGTCGTTACCTACTTATTGATCAATACCTCCATTTTCTGTACTTATAGATGGTACGTAACATGTACCCTCGCGCTCGTACGATGTTCTACAGCGAGTTCCTCAAATGCACTTGAAATACGAGGTACTAAGACAAGTCATCAGTATCATCATTTTTCTTCTTTTTTTTTTTTTGCACACATTTGTATAAAGGTAACATTTATTCGTTGGATATTTACAAGAGGAATTATTTTCGGCAGTTATATTTCTATATAAGGAGAAAAAAAAAAATAACATTGATTTCTCTTGAAGTTTGTTTTAATATTTTATAAATCACATATTGAAAAATCAGTAATTTCAGTAAATGAGTAGGATTAATTGAAATATCTCAACATTTTTGAAAAGAGTATAGGGTAGTTTAGGGTCAGATCAAGTGTTATTTAAAAACATACTGTTCTTTGACGAGGGCTCTCTTTTACAGAAGAAAAAGGATGTGTGGTTGGCCATTGGTAGTTTAAGACCAAGGCATGCTCAACCCAAGATTGCAATGCTTTCCTAAAACCCGAATAGATAATTGGTAAGTCTGAGCCGGGTAATTGCAGTACGTGAATCGTATTGGCAAAAAATCAACCGACTCCTTCCCTGGTAACAACCCTGAACTTGTAATATATTCGTTGAACCAGCGTATACTTCCAATCAACTTGAAATACCGAGGATACTTGACGTGCTTACATTCAATAATCAACTTTACTGTTACTAAGTTGTTCTATCCAAATAAAATTCAATACCAGCAATAAGAAAGAAGAAATAAATTTCTATTAATATTACAAATATTTTTATTACAAATAACTAACTTTGTACGATTTGCTTTTTGTCCCCTTGTTCGCGCGTCCCTGCCACCTTGGCTGGCTGGCATGGCATTCAACTGTTTGCTGTTCGTAGGACCAGGATACCTCCTCATCCAAAGACAAGTCCAAGGAAAATGGGTCCAGCCGAAAATCATCTGGGTAAGTTATTTTATCATTTTTATCACCATTTTCTTACTCAATTTTGATTTTCTCATAATCCGGAAGAAACAACATGCGCGTTAGTATACAGACAAAAAAAAAAGTCTAGACGTGACAATCACCCTCAAGATTATATTCTCTTTGTTATAGACACCGTACAATTAGTGTAAATGCCGCTTTATTTCAATAATTCCAAACGGTATTACCAAATTATGGTGAGTATAGTCGAAACATACTCGTATCGAGTTTGTTTGCCATAAAAATCGATGTAAAAATAATCGGTTTACGGGTAAATAAAGACTGGACTCTGATTATTTAAGCTACGTTGATATTATAAATTAAGAAATTCTTTAATATACATTATTATCTCGGATTTTCGAGTCTAATTATTATTTTTTTTTTTTTCATTATAATTATTTCATACATTATTGTATGGATTGTAATATTTTAAATTTATTTTTAGAAAAAGTAAACATCGATCACGATCGCGTTCTCGCTCACGGGATCGACGAGATCGTCGTGACCGTGAGCGAGACAGGGACAGGGATCGTGACAGAGACCATCGAGATCGTGACCGCGATCGAGATAGGAAAAGGAGATCCCGTTCTCGCGATAAACGAGACCGAGATAGGGATGATAAGGATCGTGATAGACGAGACAGAGATCGAGATCGTGAGAGAAGAAGAAAACGCTCTCTAACACCAATCACATTACCAAGAGCTCGGCCATTTGGAAAGGGAGTTAGTCCACTTGGAATGTAAGTATTTTCAAAAATTGATTATTGGAAAAATTGACAATTTTGCTGCTATGGATTTTTGACGAGTTATTAATTTGTATTACAGGAGAAATGATGAATTGACTCCAGAAGAGCGTGATGCCCGTACAGTATTTTGCATGCAATTGAGTCAACGCATTAGAGCAAGAGATTTGGAAGAATTTTTTTCAAGTGTAGGAAAAGTACAAGATGTGAGACTTATAACATGCAACAAAACAAGACGTTTCAAAGGAATTGCTTATGTAGAGTTTAAAGATCCAGAAAGTGTTACATTAGCTTTAGGTTTATCAGGTCAAAAACTATTGGGAGTTCCAATTGTTGTACAACATACTCAAGCTGAGAAAAATCGAATGGGTAATTCTATGCCCAATTTAATGCCTAAAGGACAAACTGGACCAATGAGGTTATATGTTGGATCTCTTCATTTTAATATTACTGAAGATATGCTTCGTGGTATCTTTGAACCTTTTGGAAAAATAGACAATATTCAATTAATAATGGATCCTGAAACGGGTAGAAGCAAAGGATACGGATTTTTAACTTTTAGAAATGCAGATGATGCTAAAAAAGCACTGGAACAACTTAATGGTTTTGAACTTGCTGGAAGACCTATGAAAGTCGGAAATGTTACAGAACGAACTGATCTTATTCAAGGACCATCATTACTTGATACAGATGAATTAGATCGTAGTGGAATTGATCTTGGTGCTACTGGAAGGCTACAATTAATGTTCAAACTTGCAGAAGGAACGGGATTAGAAATTCCTCAAGCTGCAGCTAATGCTTTAAATATGGCACCGGTGATGAATACACCCCAACAAGCACAACAAACGACACCACCAATTGCTACACAATGTTTTATGTTATCCAATATGTTTGATCCACAGAAGTAAGTTTCTTAATTATTATTTTAAGTCTAGCATATCCGTAGACCTAGTGAGATCATCTTAGTTGTTCACGCTGGGGGAACAAATATGCGAGAGAATGTTATCGTTATCTAATTTATAAGTTCATCATAGTTTGCTTCGTTGAACAAATTTATGATAACGAAACAAATCTATTTACTTCAATAAATTTATATCTTAAAGAGATTCGAGCATGAATAATTAATGTGGTTTAACAAAAAGTTTTACGATAGAAAAATTGTTTATTAATTTTTAATTAATTTGTTCATTAATGAGTTGACATATGTTCTAATCTCTTTCGAGAAAAGTGGGTTTCATAATATTAATTTATCATTTTTGTTTGCAGTGAATCCAATACATCATGGGCAAGAGAAATTCGGGATGATGTAATTGAAGAATGCAACAAACATGGTGGTGTACTCCATGTGTATGTTGATCAAGCCTCACCACAAGGCAATGTTTATGTCAAATGTCCATCAATTGCTACTGCAGTTGCAGCTATAAATTCTTTACATGGACGATGGTTTGCTGGACGTGTTATCACAGCGGCGTATGTACCGCTTGTTAATTACCATTCGTTATTCCCAGATGCAATGACAGCACTTCAATTGCTGGCTCCTAGTGCACCAAGAAGAGGAATTTGATCCTAATAATTGGAAATATAACTTTTTTATGAGCTCACTATAGCTATTTAAGATACGATAGTAGATGGATTATTGAATATTACGATACCTTATATAAATAGTAAATTACAAAAATTTTGTTCATCTATACATAAGTCGTACAATATTCACATGGATTTTATTGTTCGAATTATACTGATTATCAATAAAAAACTTGTTATTTTGAATGGCTTGTGTATGACTAACTGTGATTTTCATTTTTTAGATATTAACATGATTTATGCTAAAATTTCAGATAAAGAGCTACAATCAATGACAAAACTAAACAAAGAACTATGAAAAGTAAAAATGTGAATAAGAGAATTTCACTGAATTATTTGTGTACAAAAAATGAAAAAACTTGTAGTATGTATTTTTCTTTACATATATTTTTCGTAGATAACATCAATATTTGAATTCATTCCAAATTAAAATATAAATAAAATTTGTACATAACAATTGTAAATTAAAATCAATATAACAATCTAATTGGTATTATTTTTGATCCTTTCATTACATTGTGCAGTTTAAAAGAATTCAAATAAAAAAGATATGTGGCATAGTGTTATTGAACATTTGATGTTAATTAACACCAGTAATAAATAATAAATTTTTTAATAAAAATTCATGATTGTTAATTACTTATAAAAATATCAACAATTGTTTTTTTTTTCATTTACTTTTTGTTTTGTATTTAAAGTAAACTAATACAATTTAATTATAAAACTTAATTCGATTTCCATTTTAAATCAGCACAAATGGCTATATGATCACTGGGGAAAACTACTGATGGAATAGCTCCATGGGCCTTCAACACTTCTTCAGTGGGCATAGGTGCTATTCGTTTCACTTCCAATTTATTAGTTTCATAAAAAATGTAATCTAGACAATCTGCAAAATCTACAGTAAAATTCGTGTACTGTGGAGTACCACAAGCACTTCCCAAGGACAATGAATGAGAAAGAGAAACATCTTTAATTGTTTGCTGTTCATCTAAAAACGAATATAGTTAAGTACATTATATTTGTATTGATCAATTGAAGTATTAGTTATTTTCATATTATGACCAATATTTACTTGAATTCCAGTCTACTTCATCTTTTGAAATATTACCAGTAGTCATCAATTTGTAAACACCATCTTTAGGAGTGCTATTAAAATCTCCAGCTAATAATAGAGTTATATTATGCTGAGGAAACTAAAAAAGAACAAACAATTACTAAGAAATTAAAAACAGTCAATCTCAATTTATTACCTCTTTACGGATCTTTTCAGCAAAATTTTGACATGTAGACAATGCAAAAAATGCTTGTAATAATCTTATATGATCTGCATCTGGATGGAAATAGAGGTGAGTATTACCAATTACCAAAATTTCTGAAGGATTGTCTATGGAGCGGATGACCACTACCTGGTAATCATTTTTTATCATTATTTTAAATTAGAAATGTAATAAACTAAAATCACATACCAACATGGATGTATTTCGATCTTGAAACCTTTTTTTAGCATCTTCATTCGTAATAGTTTTCCAGACTTCTTCAAAAGTAGGATTGGAATTAATATTTTCACTCATTACTATAGTTTTATTTTCTATCATCTGAAATCGTTTATTATTATACATAATAAGAAGACCTTCACCCGTTTCTCCTTTAGAACCGTAAATACCATCATAATCCAGCAATATAAAAGGAGGTTTCATATCATGTTCATACACCCTTCTGTCTACTTCTTGTAAACATATTATATCAGCATTGTATCCTAAAATTTATTGATAAATTTAATTTTTATTAATAATCAGCATAATTAGACAAAATCTAGATCATTTTAAAAATGAATTATTTTACCTATTAATTCTTTAATGATTAATAATTTACGATAATCAATATCCAAAGCATGTTCTGGACAGTAAGGAAATAGGACTTCTTTCGAATAATTTGACTTTGCATAAGTATTTGCTAAAATATTATATGATAACATTCTAAAATTGTCCCCAGATAATTTAGTACTTGTAGATGATTGTCTTGCTTCAAATGGACATACACCAGGGCCAGCTGTTACAGCAACCTTTGATATTACTTCGATTTCAGGACCTTCACCATGATCGTTACGTGGTAAACATTTGAGTTTTAATATAAATCCAATATCAGTATCAGAAGGATAATATATAAATCCTTCACCAACTTGTATTTCTTCATGAGGATAATTGTGTTTAAATTTGTACCAAATAAACGATGACTTATCTTTATCTAAATACAATGTTTCAAATTCTGAAGGATAGACTGGAAATCCTACTAAAATGGTAGCAGGTAATTTTATTCTGAGAATCCAAGGAGTGTTATATTTGATGGTGTAAGGTTCACCCAAAATAACCATGGATAAATTATATGGGTTGTCGAATACATTGATGCAAGTATCTTCTAAATTTACTTTCGTATTTTCCTTGAGAAGAACAATATTACCTGATTCAACATTATTTACAAGATTTTTATCTTCATCCTCTTTTTCTTCTTGTATTTTTTCATCGTTCTGTTTTATTTTAATTTTCTTTTTAGATCTGTGATTTTTTTTATTTACAACTTTATCTATATTTCTATCAATTCTTTCTAAAAATGTATACACGTTTTCACATGACTTTCGGTATAAATTAAATTGTTTATCAATTTTTAGTTCCTTATTAATGTATCGAAAACTAAAATTAAACGTTTCTTGTCCTTTTTCATATCGTAAAAAAGCCTCATTCATGTTTATTCTTGTTTTGTGTGTACTGTAGAATAAATTATTTATTCCTAATGGCAATGTAGCACTGTATATTTTTTGTATATATCGTTTTGAAAATATTGCGGTGAAACAACTCTTCATTATTTACTATGCACTTCTATTTACATCGTTAATTTACTATTGATAAACGCACTAATGTTATACATTTTAGGTTATAATTATTTATCGTAAAAACATGTGGCTTGTTAAATGCACGGTCCATAAATTGGATAAAGAGTGGGGTGGATAAGGACTTCTCATCGGTTACCATTTTTAGGGGAATACACAAAGTATGATTGAGAAGAGTCCTTCCTTCTGTCATCAAAGATCCTTGGATAGTTAGCTCCGAATTTCGGAGTACTGAAAATTAGGTCTCATTATTATAATCAGCAAAAATGAATGATGAGTTACTTTATTATTTATTTTCACTCATTGTTACATATCCATTCTCATAAAATTGTCATGGAAATAAACGTTAATATCCATCGATACGAAGAGTTTCCTTTTCTATCAATAAAGTATCAAAATTATCGATAGGACCAATTATTTGCTAGTAAGTTTTTAAACTCACCAAAGGTAGCATGGCGGTCGGCTGAAAGATGGCCGTCGTGCGCCAGACTCCATACCTTAGGTAGTCTTAGAGATTACGAGGAGAACATCACACCGTTTTAATCGTTTTTGTGTGCGTGCGCGTGACAAGTAACGTCAGGAAGAAAAAAATCATTTTGGTTTAGTGGATAATATTGAGATTAGTTAATAAAAAAAAAATTAAAATATTGGATTAGTAATATATTCAAATGATAATGAATGTGTGTGAAGTGGGTTAAAGTGACTGAATTAACAATCAATCTCGTGGGATCTGAGATAAATTGGTAAGTTTAGATCAATTAAGTAATTCGTATCATTTTATGATGTCACAAGAGAAACCTCTTGTGTCAAGGTGTTTCTTCAGGCATCTGGTGAAAAGTTTAAACTAAAATCTAGAACAAAGATAGAATTTGCGTTTAATCAAAATAATTTCAAGTGACAGAGACATCGATTAAAGGTCCAGAGTGATACCAACAAAGAGACGAGAAGCTCATTTCATTCGGACTAAAGTAGAGAGAAAATAAAAGAGAGGTTATAGAAGATTTCTCTAGTGTTTTCTCTTATCTTCATTTCACCTGCCATCACTGAGACAGCTGTTTTGTTGTTTATTTTTTGTGTTTTGATACAATTTTAATTAATTTAGTACGCTGTTTATTGGAAAGCATAAAAAGAAACATTTCAAAATATTGTTTCACGTTGAAGATCGATGGATATGAATGTACAATAACCTCCCCGAAAGACAAATAACTAGTTAAATATTAGTGTTTATCGATTGTCATATTCGTGATATATCTCTTTATGTATCAGACATGGCAAACAGTTGTATTCTTTCATTTTGCAACTAACCATGCAAACTTTTGACCAAACCACGCAACGTCAGAGGCTTGGATACTTTTTATTCAATACAATTGATTTAATTCTCGTAAGTTGCGTAAGAAATGTTAGAGTACGAATACCAATTCTAATGCAATACGTCCTATTTTTGAGTGTTGAAGTAACATCGAAAAAATTTTTTAACATTGTTTACTGGAAAACTAGTACTCATTTTCTATTCATATCATCTGTCGTTTTGTAAAGTTTCACCAAACTCTTTTACAACAGGATGTTTTTGCATCAACAAATTGACAATTTTAAATTCATTTTAAACAATTCAATTTATTATTAATAATTACAATTTTATATAATTTAATGAAATTCATTCAAGTGCTCTAAAAAAGAAACTCATAAATCTAAATTAATTTCGTTCTTTTTACATTATACATTCATAGTATTTCAACTGAAAAAGATTAATTTGTGATATGACTTTTTTTAGAGTATTATTTAATTTATTGTACACACTATGAAATAGTGATATGAAAAACATCTCTTTTTAAGCTTCTGGTAATTTTTCTGAAGAACATTGTTTCTTTTTTTCTCTTTAATTTTAAATTCAAAGGAATCCTTGATAGATAGTGAAGTAAATAATAGAATAACGTCATTAATTTATCATATATCAGTACGATGTTATCATGATATCAGTAAAAGTTGATCAAATAAAAGACGACATAATAAGGATTTTCTTGAAGCTGTATATTTCTAAGTGTAATACAAACTGTTGAAAGAAATCAGTAGGAGGTCATACAGAAAGAGGGAAAGAAAAAGATTAAAACAGATCGAAGGTTACTGACCTACAGAAAAGCTTTAATAAAAGTAACAAATTGATCTTCCTCTCATCATTTATCATTTGTGCCATTTTTTTTTTGTTAAACTCACTGTTTTCTAATCTTTATGATGTTTTTTGTTCACAGATTCAATACCATTTAAATTAATCATGACACGAGAAAAGAAGAAAACAATAATTCACATCAACGATTCATCACTAAATAGAAAAAGGCAATGCTAAAGATTATGACAAAGATTATTTTTCTTCTTTGCAAAGATTCCAAGTTTTTTAATTCTAAGTGTCTTCTCACGTCTGCTATAAACCATTAAAAAAACTTTAGTAGACAAAAGGATTTCTTCCAAACATATTAAATATTTAACAAATATAAATACTTGTATTGCTAAATTGAAGAAAAGGCAAAAAGTATGTGGAGATAACTCGGCCTTGAAAAAGGACGAGGCCAAGGAGACGGTGATTGAATCAGAATTGGAACGTGAAAAAAAATCACGGTGTTTCAAAGTTATTATAGTTCAAGTAAAGTGTCTGTTGAGGCTTAATGAAATAATGGCCTTCATGATGAAGAAGAAGAAGTACAAATTCTCAGTAGAAGTTGGATTAGAAGAACTCACCGCAGTGCCTTTTGTTAATGCTGTTTTGTTTGCCAAATTACGTCTTCTTGATGGTGGATCCTTTGTTGATCACTCTACTAGGTAAGTTTAACATTTTGATATTAATGTAGATTTAGTGTCTTCTATTGTTGAAAAAAAGTTCATTTGTTACTAAGATAAACATCTTTTGTGAATATAATGATATTAATGAATGCTAAAGTGAAGATGCATTTTCCAAGATACTTTGATTAACTGACTTCAAGTATCATTACTTGAAGTTCTCAAGGACCTGAACGCTTTTACTTTTGAAGCAGTATATTGACATTTATCACCTTGTCAAAGTAACATGTTAATTCTTCAAGATTTCAGTTTATTTATCTCTTATGACTAGACAAATTACCTAATCATTACTAAATGTTTTCCTAGATAGAAATGTTACCTATTATTATACATCTTTACTCATGTAATTGTTGTTAACTGACAAATTGATTGACCTAGAAATTATAAACTCAGCTATTAAGCATACTCTATATACCTTTAATTGATTCATTTCAATATTTCCGATAAATGAAGTATGACTATTCAATGTCGAACTTTTGTTTAGATTCTAGAGTTCGTTAATTATATTCTCGGATTGAATCGAACTTCTATATTCAATAATACTAAGCTATTTTTTTTCACTATATATGTATGATATTTTTTACAAAAAAATTCTTATCGATTATTTGTGTATTATTCTTTAACAAATTGTGAACTGACGAAGTAACTCATAATAATCTTGAATATCGTAGGCGTTTGTTGAATTTCAGCCAAAATTATTCTGCTATGACGTTACTGGCACTGTGATATCCAGAAGTCCAGGAAATACTTTAGAATACGCAGTAACAGATAAGAGAATATATAACAAAAAAAAAACGTCTCAAGGTCATGTAAATATGTGAAATCAAAAAAAAGGTTAAATAGAAAATAATTATCCTAAAATATTCCAATATAATGATTATCTGAATGACAAAAATATACATGGATAGAAAATATTTCCTCAAACAACAATGATTCAAAAGAAACGACATATAGCACATTTGATAAAAATAATATAATTAATAATTTTAAGGTAAAATTTGAATGAAATACAGGAATGTCCTTGAACGATGGCCTTTCTGATCTGTCGCTGATCACACATTGCGAAAGTAAATGGTGTGCCGCAGTGCGGCTTCAGATTTTGCTCTTATAGAAAGATTGGTCAATATTTTTAAGCATCTGATTTGAATTATTGCAACATATTTAATGGTAATAAATAAGATTTATTTAGAAACATCATTCATAGGCCTTACATGACTTTGAACTTGGTAGACTCAATCCTAGAATGAAGAGTGTTGAATCTTTGGATTATAAAAGAATTCAATGTTGAATTGAAAAATAAAATGAATAATAAATGTGCATATACATATTAAGAAGGGTGTAGAATCGTATACGATAATGGACAATGTCCTGTCGACATTTTTATCAGAGTAATACTACGCTATGACTTTAATTTTGTTTAGCTAAACAGAATTCAGCTACGAGTATGGAATAAGGAGACATTGGATTACACATAATCCACAGCATTTATTTGGAATCTTACATTATAATTTATATTTATATAATAATTAAATCAATGGATATTACGGTTTCATCCAAGATACCAATTACAGAATCGAAGCCAGAACTTTAATTTATTTTTACTTTTAATAGGTTACACTTGAACGTCCTTAAGATTAACGTCCTTGACCGGCTTTTCAGTTCTGCTGCAACTTTATCTGAAAGAAATCAAATTATACAGCTTTCATTTTTAAAAATTTGTTAAGTTATTTGCTTGTATTTTACCATCATTTTCAACTAATTATACTTGTGAAATAAATCATGCAAGAGTTTAAACTTTATTAAAAAAAAAATATTTTATTCGGTTGGAAACTACTATTCGTTTAAATTATCAAGTTTGAGTAGAATATATATTAGTTAAATTTTGTAAATCCTTGAAACTTGTATTCATTGTTTAAGAAATTTATGAGCTTAAAATTTTATCGTAAATTCATTTTGACAAAAAGAGTTTAAATTTATAATAATAGCTTGAGAAGTCACAATAGTGATAATATGATAACGATAAGAATTTTACTAAGTAGCAGTTGATGTCTTTGCAACAAATTAAACATACAATTCATTTTGGAGTAAATTTTTCTGAATATAAAAATGAATAAAAATTAAGAAAATAATTCTGAAGTAATATCGTTGATGAAAGCATCAAGTTATAAATATATGTGAAGAATAATGAAACCTAATTATCACGTTAGTGATGATACAATGTTTATGAAAGTTAATGTAATTAATTCTATGAACCACAACCAATTATAATATTTAATGAAATTAAGTTTCCTTAACTGACAATATTGTATTTAATATTCAGAAGTTAATGATGTCTTTTGCTAATGAAAATTTCTAGATTTATTTATCAACAAAGTAAATTTGATTTTAAACATCAAAAAGTCGCTACAATTTATTGATTATATTCATGCAACATATTATCTTCAACATCTTCCCTCTTGTCATATATTCATTTATGCTTTCACTCCAGTTTACGAACAACTTGTATACATCCCACTATGATATCCGCACCCTCGACAACATAAACTCGAGTGTGACAATGAGAGAAAAAGAGAGAAAGAAAAAGGACGCCCTTATAGATCAATAACCCTTAGCAACGTGTCTACCAATAAAATGTCTTCTTTTATGCTTTTCATTATTAATAGATCATTTAAGATTTGAAGTTGCTTGTAATCGTTGAGATTGCAATAAAACTACATGTTAACAATGATAAAAAAAAAAATAAATCAAACCAGACATTTATCATCTGAAAGTTTTTTATAACCCAATTATAGTATTTGGTTGTTAATAAAAATATTAGTCATCAAGGTGTATTTTTAGAACTATTCATCCACAAAAGCAGCATCAAGACTTTTAAACTTACATAGTTATATTGTTGATAATGAAAATTTATCATTAGTATTATATGTACTCATATTAATGTGTATCCACAATTCCGGAAGTTACTGTTTCGTGTTGGAATATTTGAATAACAGTCTGACCTGTGTTATTTAAAGTTACCCCACGATAAAACATTATTGAATTTACTTGTAAAATTTCGGATATCCTCTTTAATTCCATTCATTTGAAATAATTCATAAATATCTTTGAATTTGATTTATTAGACATATATTTTATTAGTTTCTAGATGTTGTATAAATGACATTGATCAAGTACGTGTAATTACTTTATAAACAATACAATGGGGGTTTTGAGAATATTAGCTATGATATAATGCAAAGAACAGGTCTTAGATCATAGTATTTTGTAGGCATATGATTTAACACATCATCATGATTGTGTTTAATCGTTATGTACTTGAGTTGGCAACGATGACGGTCATGGTCAACATTAATACTGTCACAGAAGCAAGTTTTCTATGTACTTGATGGAAATAATTATTATCCATGTATATTGTAATAGGATTGTCAATTTATTATCACATTATAAATGTGTTTATAATCATTTTAATTAGACCAAAGACAATATTGAATAATTGAAAATGGATTTATTGAGTTGGAGTAACTACTTTTTAATAATTTTTTAATTAAATTACTTTTATATTGTTATTTTGTTGTTTATAAGTCATCAAATTTATAATTGACATATTTTAGGAACTAATAAAGATGAAAAAAAGGTCATTATAAAAATTTATACAATATTTGAAGTAAATTATTTGTCTATGATAATATCCTTAATAATATCAAATTATCTAAAGATCAGTCAACGACTTATGTGAGCTTTATATTTAATACGATCAAATGATTTTAGAAAGTAAGAACTATGTTCACAGGTCGATTATGAAATCAACCAGAAACTTTGGATAGCCTTGCCTACGGCTGTTTCACGAAAAAAATATTTTAAGCGATTAATTATTCTAAATTTAATCTCCAAAAGTCCCAATAACAAATTAATTACATTTTCAATATAAAAAAAAATAATAGTATAGAAGATAAACAAGAATAATGTTTTAAAAGTTATTTAGTAATGTTTTTAAAATAATCCATTTTCAAGTGTAAAATTATAAATTCTATTTCAGTCACTAATTACTCATCATGATTACGTCTAAAGTTATAACTCAGTAGATAATAAATTTGTGAAATTTGGAATAATTACTTTCAATAATAGTTAAATAGTAATTATAATACTAGGTAAATGGTTAATTTATTAAATATGTAGTATACTCATGGATGGTCAAGTTCCATTCACTTGACCTCTATGACAATTTAAGTCAATGATACTCAATCGATTGTATGTTATTAAATTTTACTCTTCATCAGGCTTCATATTGACACATGCGTGTCACTTGCAGTTATCTTTGGTTTTTAAAACATCTTTTTTATTTCATTTTACTTAATCTCCAATAATTAGAACCTTCAAAATCATAGTCATTCTTTAATAGCTATTTTATTGCATGCAAACATGACTGGTTACAAAGTGCTAACATTAAAATCTCATATTATAGCTTGGTATATAAAAAGCTAACATTTGTAAGCCATTATACTATAATTGATCTTAAAAATCTTATTTTTTTATGTTTAGCAGTAGCTTAAGTGAAGCAATCTTATTTTTTTTAGTTGCTAAGTCTCAGAATTTATTATTATTTCTATTCAAATAAGTCTAGAAGATAAGTCTGGAAGAATAAATCTCCATTTATCTTTAAAACGTTAGTCAAGTCCTCATATATATTCTAGGTCACACTCACTGGAGCATCAGTCTTATTTTTCTTTCTATGTTTGATTCGTTGAATTTGAGAATGAAAAGAAGCATGTAATACTATTTTATTCACAGAATAATACATATATATATCTAGAACATTCATACTAGTATGTAGCAGACTTTCATCAGTTTCACCAGTGAAACCTGAAAAGTAAATTGTACTTTTAAATAAGTTTAAAAAAAAATTCAAGAACATGAACAAATCATTTACTTCCAAATACACTATTTTATTTAAGAATTTAATTACTTTTTTCTATTTTGAATTAATATTTGGAAAGAAGTTTTTTCCTTATATTATTCAGCTAATTATTGTATTTATCTTTAGGTTTTTTCTTGTACTGAACTTTTTTTCAACTGTATTTAAAAAGAATTCTCCTTAATAAGAAACTGACTATAAAAAAATTACTATAATTATATTTATTAAATGGTTTTTATTCAGAGAAGAAGTACAGGAACATACAGTAAGATGGAATGCAAAGTTTGACTTTTTATGCAAAATGAGTGCAAATGCATCGACTGGTATCCTTGATCCATGTATTCTACGGATATCTGTGAGAAAAGTATGCTATAAAAAGATGTTAGCATAATTTTTTTTTCTTTGTATCTTTTCCATTTACTATATAAATATTTTTTTCCAGGAAATAAAAGGAGGCAGGTCCTTCCAGAAGCTAGGTTTCACGGATCTTAATCTTGCAGAGTTTGCAGGAGCTGGTCTCTGTCGACGACGATGTCTTTTAGAAGGCTATGATACAAGACATAGACAAGATAATTCAATGCTAAGAGTAGCTATTAAAATGAATATGCTTTCAGGCGATATACTTTTCAAAGTGTAAGTATTTGAAATTTATTTTCTATTCAATAAATTATCTCACCAAGTTATTCATTGATATTGAAATTTTCTAGCCCTTCTCCATCATTAAAGCAAACACAATTAGCAGTACCAGGAGTTGTACCAGGAGTATCTGGGACTGGGACGACGGACGAATCAGTTGGTCCAGAAAGAAGTGCAAATCGTGAAGATTATGTCTCAAGTGGATCATTAGCTGGAAGTATAGCTAGTGCAAGTAGTGGGTTTGGTAGTCTTCCAAAAAAGAGACCAGCATTATTTTCTTCCGGTAAAAAATAGTTTCAGAAACAAAATATTTATTAAATATTCTTTCTCTCTCTCTTTTACTTTCGTTCTTTCGATTTATTTGATGCTTAATAAAAAATTTTCAATCTTTCTAGAATTACTTTGTGGAACGGAGACTTATGATCCGATGACTGTCAGCGAAATAATACCTTCTGTAATGACAGTAGAAGCTCTTACTGAAGCTCATACTGAGTCCGGCCACTCTCGAAATAGTAGTAACACGAGTCAACTAAGTAAAGGATCAGGATATGGATCACTCAATTCACATAGTCAGCATAGCAGGCAAAGTAGTAGTGGCGGTGACAGTGGTCATATCAGGTAAGAACAAGGTCTTTTTTAAAAACTGATGATTGTTGTTTATAGAAAAATGAAAGAAAGTGGTTTTAATAAGGCCTCTAAATCGGTTAACATATTAATATTCATACTAATGATACCTATAAATCACGTACTAATTAATTAATCATTGTCTAACTTAAAATCTGATCCCATGCTTTGAGCAATATCTCAAAATTGGATTATTAATTAAAATATTGCTTCCTTTCTTTTTCTTCTTCTCCTCTTTCAATTTTATTATTCTTTGTCTATTGACTTATTTTCGAGTATAGATATTTTTATAATGATTTAGTAAATGTTTAAATTATATGTTTAATTATTTTTTCATATTGTTTATAATTTAATTAAACTTTATTAGTAAAGTTTTTATTAAAAAATTTTGAATTTATGTAAAAAATTGTAATTTGTTTTTATCATTTTTGCATGCTTCAAAAATTTGTGTTATGATATTTATAGGTCACCTTCCTGGCCGATATGGGCTCCACGCCTTCCTACTTTATCCCAAAATGAATGTTACAACAACCAACTTGACCCTAATGTTACAAACAAATTACTCCAAATGTCTCCACCTTCACCACTATCCAACATTACCATCACAGATTCTCCTAACCGGTTTTGGCTATCCGCGAGTCCAGTGACATCACGTAAAGGTCGTCAAACGTCCCAAGATAATACGATTTCAATGCCAATGAATGTCATTAAGTCGTCAATAGATAAAAACAGTACTGAAAAAAATCTTCCAACCAATGGAGCATTAACTAATAATAATTTAATCAAAGATAAAATTTTTAAAGTACCTCAAGATATTACTCGGCATTCTTGTAAAAATGAAAAAAGTGGTAGTGACCGGTCTTCGATAATTTTTACAAAAAATGATAAAAATTCAACATCTAAACCACGAATTGGACAGTCTAGTTGGAAAAATATGTCAAAAACTTGTGATTGTATCGAGAAAAGAGAAAGAATGACTAGTCCTATTTTAAGACTCGCGGATCAAGCTAGAGCTGTTTCCTCTCCTGATCCTCTTCATAGACCTGATACTCCCAGAGCCTCCTCGTTTATTTCTGCCACAGCAGCTCAAACCCTCAGGTAGGTTTTATTTATTGCCAAAATTTTTATGATTTCTTCATTTATTTCAACTTCTTTTTTTTTTCTTTTGGTCTTTTAATTTCTGTTTTTATTTATAAAATTTTTTATCCTTCTTCAGCTTCTTTGTCTGAATGGTTGTTATTTGGATTAATATGCAGAAAAATTCAAATATACTGTTTTCAAAGTAAAATTTACTTTTTTAAATATTTCAATAAAAATAAAGAAAAACTTGTTTAGTAAATTCACTTTTACTTTCTGCTCAAAAAGTTCTAAGTTATACTTTGATCTTTCATGTTTGTTTTATTTATTTTTATGAGTTATCTATATACTTCAGTGTATAGTCATGAAACTATGAAAAATAAAAATAAAGCCTTGCCTTTCAGTAGTACTAACAATAGTCAAATGAATTGCTAACAAGTATTTTCTTGCACAATTAGAGTGTTGCTAGTGATGACTAAACTTCATCGGGGTTATTGAATCATTCAAGTATCAATGTACAAATCATTTTCAACTATTGCTTTGATATCATGTCTAATAATTAAATTTTCGTGGAGCTTATAATTAATTAGATAACTATTCTAACAATATTTCATTAGCATTTTGCCGATTGCATTATTCCTTAGCTTTACTGCTGTATATTCAAAATATAGAGATTTTTTTGAAAGAGATATATTTAAAATAAATTGAAAATTTTTTTAATTTTAAAATATCTTAATATTTTGTATATTTTAAAATGTAAAATAGATATTAAAAATACGATTAAAGAATTGAAATAAATTTGTTTTTTTGTATATATATCATATTGTTTATATGTTATACATAACACATATTATTTTAATTCTATTTATTAGTAAAAAAAAAATATATTAGATAATATAGTAGTAAAAATAAACAAAAAATAGCTTTGGTTTGGACAGCTTTAAATCCTCTTGCAGGGGCATTGGCGGCAGTCATACGCATCGAAAATTGCTTGATGGTACGAGTGTAAAATTGGCAACTGTGACTACGAGCCCCGACTCTGACGAGTCCATGCTAAGTGTACCGGAAGTAACACCCGTAATCGCACAGCATCGAAACAGCATTACCCCACCGTTAGTTAATGTTAATGTCTCTATTAGTACGATATGTGTCCTTGGCTTAGCTATAGCCTTTAGCTTTTTAATAGTTTCATATGATTTATTTTTCTTTCATTTTTGCATGAACATTTCATAATTATTTTCATTTGTTTATCTTTATTCTTCTATCATTAATTAATTTTTATTCTAAGTACTTCAATTTTATATTAAAATATAATTTTATTGATAAAAAAAAGTTACCAAAGCAATAATGCTTTGTTTGTTTCTTAACATAAATAATAATAGTTTTATAAATATTTTTTATAATATTTATTGATGATAAAAATAAGGAATTAGTTAAAAAAATATTTATCTTTACTAGAAATCCTTCAGGAGGATCTGGATTAAGTGAAACAGGATCATTAGATCGTGCAAAGGCAGCTTTAGAAAGAAGAAAAAAAGCTGAAGATGGTAGTGGTAATTCTGTACTTTGTCGAGTAGAAGTAACACGTCCAAATGCAGATTCTCTTATTGATGAATTATTAGCAGCAACAAATCTAGAGCAATCAGATTCGGAAAGTGCTGAAAGTAAGCTACTATAATTTTCAATTACAATTATTACATAGAAAAATTATTAATTAACAAATGATAATTTTTATTTCATCTAATGTTTGTGTTGATTATAATCAGTTTTATATTGTATTGTATCATGTATGTAGTACTAATGTTTTGTGTGTGTGTTTTTTTTTTGTAATTAGCATCTGGATTACAACTGTTCATTGCTAAAGATGGTACAACAGCACTTGGAAGTCATGAAGTGAAGAGTCAAATGTCTGCTGGAGTGTTCAAACAGGTGGTAATGGAAGAAAACAACAGGTAACACCAAGCTCCTGCAACAAGACGACAGTATTCAAGGCAGTCGACAACGTCGTTTTCACTTGCCTTGGTACCAGAGCTAGTCTATGAAGCTTATGAGCCACGGTAGTGAAGCGACTATCGATTCAAAATAAAAATTAAAAATATTACAAAGAAAAAATATAAATAATAGTAATAAATAAAAAATATATACGTTAATAATAATAACAATAATAAAAATAAACAAAAAAGTAATAACTATTGAAATATTAAAAAAAAAAAAAAATGATGTAAAAAATCAAGAAGCCGAGGACTGGAAATATTTTTTTAATTTGCGAGTGGATCTAGTTTGACCGGTAAAAATTGATCCTTGATAGATTACGCACATTAAGGAGATAAAGACTTGACTGAGACTCTTTCCAAGAAATTCATCAACGTACTATGTTAATATGAGAGTAAAAGATGTTTGAAATAATAAAGAAATTTTAAAAGTAATAAATTAAATAAAATGAATAACAAAATGTGCATATTTTCTTCCAATAAATGAAGCACAAAAATAAAATAATTGTGTTTCATTGGTGGATGGTTAGTTAATATAGTATGAACTCAAATTATTGAGAACATTAGATAGAAGAAAAATTAATTTTTAAATTAAAAAAGAATCAATAAATGTTAAAGTATTCAATGCCGAAATTGCATCGATGTTACATAAATTTTTTTAATTAATTTATGATTTTTTTTTTTGACTATTACATATATTTAATTGTATTATCTGTGTGTATTTATATTCTCAAATCAGTAAAAATGTAATTGAAGCCTCAAACGCATTGCTTTTTCGCTTGCGTTATTTATTCTTGTCTTTTACAAAGCTTAGTATTTATAATCATTAATAATAATAAATTTTAAAAAATGATAGCTGCTCATTCAAATCACCAGTATATTGGTGCAAACCGGCCGTTTTAAAAAATTAGCATTGTATATATATGGTGTAGTAATTGTTATATAGTTAAGTGGCCGATATTACATACCATTTTCTCTCCAATTTACTAGCGTCAGCTGTAATTAAATGTTGAGTAAAAGATGAGAATATGGAAAGAAGAAATTTTAAAAATTTTATGAATACTGTACTATAAGTTTAAAGTGTTGTTTTTACAAAAGTACTAAATGTCTGCGTGCCACTTTACTTTGATTGCCATACTTTTAATTCAGTGATGAAAAGAAGGAATTGAAGATGAGAAAAAGAACGAAACACAAAATAATTAAATATTTAATTAACAAATATATTAATTAAGTATGCTACAGAAAGTTTCAATCTTAATTAGACTTGCCAAATTTTAATTTCTTTCTAATAATTACATTGCTCTTTATGAGTATTATTCTATATTATGACTGATTGATAAGCGGTATTACAATAAGCTCATTAAACTTGATAAATCACATTGGCAGTCCTCTATTATGACTTTTTTCTTCCAATTATACTATATTTTTAACTGTTTATTTTTATTTTTAATTTACGTGTGGAAACAGATATTATTGTTGTGATATTTATGATATTGTAATAATTACAAATTATTACTGTATTGTCAATTGTATTATATAAAAAAAATATTACTTTTTATTCCAAAGAAATATTATTTTTTTAATCTAATAATAATTTTACACTCACTAGTAGTACTCGTTTACTTTAATAGATCATTATAATTAATAGAATTTGATTATTATTTTTTCATTAGTTATAATTTAAAAAAAAAAAAATGGTAATATTTATAAAATAAGAATCATAAAAAGATAAGTTTATGCAAGCTTGATTTTATTTTCATTTATAAGACATTACATTTTTAGGGCATTGTTTATTGTTAATTAAATTAATTAACTAGTATAAAACATTCCAAATCATTGTTACATATTTTAAGAATAGAATTAATACTTATTCCAACTTATCTTTTTTTGTTTCTTTGATATAAAAAAATGTCATTTAATTGAATATCATAAATTTCTGTATAAGTACTTGAGAAGAAACGTTCAACTTTCTCTAGAATAAGACTTGCTCTAAGCGTGATGCAACGTCCGTACTATGATACATCGATACATTACATCGTTTTCCACACTACTTTCACATTGCTAATCTTCAGCTTGTATTTCGAGTTTATAGTAGTTTATTGTTATCAACTTTTATCTTTTATTTATTGTAAATAAACTTGAATTCTCCATGATGTATAATTAATGAAATATGACCATTAATCTTTGACTTTAATACTGACATGTAATTTTTGTAATTATTTAAAAATTGAATCAAGTAGATAAATACTAAAATCAAAGATCAAATGTGTTCATCTCTTATGTTTATAGAAAATAGAGGGGATTACTACTATATTTTACTCTCCATTTCAATTCTGCCCTGAAATATTCAATCCTTCCTCACTGGCAGTCACTTTTCTTCTAACACAATCCCCTGACTATCTGAGCCATTGAAAATTATAGTAATCAAATTTAAATACTCTATTATAAATAACAAATATTGAATTGAGTTTAAAATAATGTTTAAATTATCTTCAGTTTATGTAAAAATTTGTTTTATAACATTAGTCATTTATTTTATTGGAATTATTAACAATGTGAAAGCTAATTCAAATGATAAAATAGAAAAGAGTTTTCCAGCATATATAATAACAGAAACAACAGATATTTTAAAAAATTTTAGTAAGTGTAAGAGTGAGTTAAACATGCTTCGGGAAGGAATTGATAATCGAAAGTTGTGGAGTTTAAAGAGTAGGTATAAATGAATTGTATGAAAGAATAGTAAATTATGAGGATATTATTCAAAGGTTTGTAGTAATGTTATTGTAATAAATCATTTTTTGTAGTCCTAGATGCAAATGGAAAGCCTTCATCAGGATTTATATACGGCAATAAATTTTGGCTTGGTCAAAAAACTCAATGCTCAGATCTTGGAAATAATAAACCCTTAGAATTAATTCCAAGTTTTCTAAAAAATAATTCCTTATATCGTAATATTGATGAAGAATTTCCACCCTATGAAATTAATTATTTTATTGCACGTTTTAGACATAATAGTACCATTCAATATCATGTGAGAATGCCAGATGAAGTAAGTAATTATTCTCCAATAAATACTATTTCAGCAACCATATTGGGCTCCATTATAAAATGATAAAATAAAAAATTTTTCAAGGATATCATAACTTTGGGACTTTGTCTTCCCGCTTCCTGTACAACGCATGAATTGCAAAGTATTCTCAATGAAATATTTAAAACAAAAGCTCTTCCGGTAGGTGATTTATATGCAGCAGATTTTAGTCTCATCCATGTCAAAGATGGTAGATTTGATTATCACTGGTTATTAAATTGGCAATCTATTATTTTTATGTAAGTAGTATATTATCAAGAACCAATTTCCTAAATGGATAATTAAAATGATTCCTTTTTAGAATGATCTTAATAATAATAGGGTTGATGATCATTTTGGGAACCGGATATGATATTATTATTTATCAGAAAAGACTAGTAAAAAAAAAAAGACTCATGAATTTAAACGACAATAATGATGGATTATATTTAAGTATGAATAACTATAAATTTCTGTATCTTATATATCAACTTATTTATTTAAAAAATTGATTAACATTTTTTTATCTTCATAAGATCCAACTAGCTTTCCTCAACATAAACATCTTGCGATAAAAAATACTTGTAAACCTTCAAGTATGCTTTGCCACATTCTGTTATGTTTTTCCGTTTATACGAATTCTGGTATGATTTTTAAAACTAAAATAAAAAAAGATTCAATATCTGCTATCCATGGCATAAAATTCCTTGGAATGCTTTGGATAATTTTAATTCATACTGTGATATACATGAATGATTTTGCTGATAATAGAATAACAGCTTGGCGAAATGGAGAGGGTTTTAGTGCTCAAATAATTAGTAATGGAGCAATGTCAGTGGATACTTTTTTTTGTATCAGTGGATTTTTAGTAGCTTGGTTATTTTTTAAAGAGAAAAATAAAAAGAAGGAAGAAAGAGAACATGCTATAAGACTTAATTGGACAAATTTTTTTGGATTAATAATTAAAAGAATTGTGAGGTAAGATTTTAATTAGTAGTTAAATCAATGAATTAAATGAGAAAAATTAGTAAATTTATTTTTTCAGGTTGACTCCTGCCTATATGATAGTTTTAGGAATAATTCAAATGTTTACAAGTTTTTATGCTCATGTAGCACTGTTTCAAATGTCTGAAAGGCCTGAAGAAATGTGTGCCAAATATTGGTGGAGAAATTTGCTTTATATTAATAATTTATTTGATAAAGACACAATGGTATTTATGAATCATAAAATATTTATTGATTTATTACTCTAATAAAGACTAAACCATTTTTCTTACTAGTGTTTGTCTTGGAGCTGGTACATATCAAATGACATGCAATTTTTTATTGTCGGAATATTTCTCCTTTTCTTATCAAACATGTAATAAGAATAATATTTTTTCATTTACTTTTGTGTACTTAATAATATTCATTTTCTGTTTAAAAACATTTTGTTCTAGATATTTCTATTTAGCTGTAATTCTGCTATTTGGGCTTTTAATTTCCTCAGTTCTGATTACTGGCTATGTATCATATTCTAATGAATTCATTTTCACGTAAGCATTCATAGTTTTCATATGATTTATTTATAGAGAAAATGACACAAAAATGAAAAAAAATTCATCTTATAGAGCAGACGATCTTTGGAATAAGATGAATATTATTTATGATCCACCATGGGTACGAATTGGTCCTTATTTAGTTGGAATGATTGCAGCATATATATTATTCAGATTGGAAGGAAAATTGATTGTTAAAAAAGTATGCAGTCCATATTTTAATTTATTATTTCCTTTAATTTATCATTGAAACGTTGAATAATAGTTAAAACTTTTTCTACCAGGGCACTTTATGTCTTCTTTGGATTTTGGGAAGTTCATGCAATCTTCTTACATTGTTTGGCACATCAAACAGAAGAATTTTAACAGTTGTTACTTCAGCATTTTACATGGCTTTAGGCAGAACTATTTGGGGAATTGGCATTGCTTGGTTGTTAATTGCATGTCATACCAATAATGCAGGTCATTATTTTTATTATTACTTAAAAAAATGTGTTGATTTAGCATTACATAATGGTTCTTATGAGATAGTTATTATTATAGTGGCCTAATCCTAAAATTATCACTTACCTATGAGTGTACTTATATAATTTTATTCCATCATATAGGAATTATAAATAATTTTCTTTCACTCAAAGCCTGGATTCCTATGAGCAGAATGACTTATGGAGCTTATTTACTGAACCCAATAATTGCTAGTACAATGTATATGATGGCTGAAAAACCAGTACATGTGGATATTACACCAGCGGTATTTTGTTTTTATTGTATTGAATGTTAAAAATCTGATCTATAGATAATAAGGTTAATAATTATCTACGTAATTAATTTTCAGTTTATTACTTACCTAGGCAATGTTTTCCTGACGTATCTTTTTGCTTATATTCTTGCAATAACGTTGGAGACGCCCTTCATTTTACTTCAAAAAGTTTTAACACAACCTCGTCATAGGCACCAATAATTGGATAATATGGATTATCTTATAAAGATTTATAAAATTGACCATAATTGCAACAAAATATATTCAAAACTAACAATGATATGGTTGTAATTATTTTGTTTTTCCTAGGCATCTATTAAAAATTACGTCATATTTTTGGTAACTGCTAAATGTAATGAGTTTATGCGAACGAATTGTTAGAAAATTTATATTGCTAAAAAATTAGTAAAATGATTTGAAACTATGAGACGGCTGAATTGTCCAGAGTACCAGATTAGAAATGATTTTGAAATTTATCTGTTGTATGGACAGAGAACATGACCTTCGTCAGTAAGCTAGATGAATAAGTTAGTTCGAAAGTTTTTCAATAGGTGGCAGTGACAGTACCTTTTTGAAAATAAAATACGATATCATTTTTCTAATAAACAATTAACAATCAACAATTAGTGGTTAAATCAGACATAATTTGATAAAAAATAATAGAAAAATTTCGGAATTATACCTATATGGGGCTCATACTGTGATATGTTATCTAATAATTTAGTTTTATACGCAAATATTAACTGTTATTTTGATGAATATTTAACATGTTTTATCAATTATTCTTGTGTCATGATTGCTTTTCTTTTCTTCAACAATCTATTAAGGAAATACTGAGATCCAGGAAAATGAATGATTGTAATATACTGGTGACGAACTAAAGGAAAATGAAAGGATCTATATTAGATAGGAGAAAAGTTTCAAAAAAAAATTGTTCAACTTTGATGACCGGAGGTTATTCGGTGCTCTCAAATTTAACCTCAAATAACAATTTACTCCAACGACCTTAGAACTGGAAATGAAGGTGTAACCGGAAATGGCTATAATTCCAGCATAAATCATGCTTAGATCATAATTTTGACTACATCAAAGGAAAGCTCTGGCTCTCGGGAATCTATTGATAAGCTTGTGGTCCATTGACCTCTAATGGATCGTGAGTTATCGGCAATATAAAAAGCTATGCTCCAATGAAACATAAGAAAACCTTTAGACGCTCATAACTTGAAAACTAAGCGAGATACGGCATTTTTGACGGGGGTATCCTATAGGGGGAGTCGAATTTTTTACTTAGGTCCAGATCTGTCATATGAGTCCTCGATCAACCTCGTACCATCATAAGCATAGAGGTTATGCATATTTTTATGTTTTGCAGATTTCTACTAATATCTCTTGATTTTACTAACCAATTACAGTCGATAGCCAGTGTTTGGAACCCGTCTCGTCCCCCTCTTTCTAATAACATTCTTAGTTTTATGATCCATGCATAATTACGATTTTTTGCATTTTTTAAGGTTAGAAAAAGAAATTCTTCAACTTTGATGACCGGAGGTTATTCGGTGCGTTTTGGTGCTCTCAAATTTAACCTTAAATAACAATTTATTCCAACGACCTTAGAACTGGAAATGAAGGTGAAACCGGAAATGGCTATAATTTCAGTATAAATGATGCTTAGATCATAATTTTGACTACATCAAAGAAAAGCTACATTATTTTTTTTTCCTTCAGCGTGATTGCATATGAAATCTGTCCTAAAAATATTAATTATTACAATTTATTAAATTTAAAAAAAGAGATGACATTAATAGGCTTGAACACAAAACCTACGTTTCTATAGTCGAGCGTGTTACCTCTGAGCTGTTACAAAAATATCAAGTGGTTTTATAGCTTCTATGTATGTTGCGAACAGAGCTGAACCTTTTTCCATTCAAAAAATGGTGCTTGAAATTAAATTGGCTTAGGATTCTTATAATGAGAGTAAAAGAGAACACAAATCTTATCTCTTCTCTCTCTTAGATTAAGGGGCGTGGCTAAAATAAACCGTTGCAGCGCCATCGCTCGATGGGTTTATAGAAACTTTTATGTTGTGACCTGAATTACTGACATGTTGACCGAAACTTTGTCCGGATTTTTAACACATGCTGCAGCATTGGACTTCTATACTGGTCTCTCTTCTCTGTTCGAGATAAAATCCGCCAAGATATAGTTAGGCAGGACTAAAGACCTTTACGTTCCAATGGAACTCTAGGCAGGAATAGAACAATATGGCGTTGTCTTGCCAGACTCTATATGACTATATATTTATCATCAGAAAATAACAACTCGAATTATGAATGTGATTAGAGGGCGCTACTGTAACGAAGACTTTTTTCATACTGAATCGATCTCATCAACTGTTGTTGTATGGGGAGAGTTGTATACAGGTCCTGTCAGTGACCGTTAAATTGTCAATCCAAATTTAATTTGAAAATTCGTTATAACTTTTTAGATGCATTTGTGCATTTTAATAAATAAAAACATATAAACATGTCAGTTCACTTTACAGTAAATCATCCGATATGTATACATCGCCAACATACAATATTAGCCGATCGAGAGAAGATAAAAAAATACGAACGAGATCGACGTAGGAGGTTACGAATACTGCAGGTAGTACTTCAAATTTAATTAAAATAAATTTTCAAAAAGAATATTATTTTATTGATGTAAAATTCTTTGAAGGTTCGACAGCAATCCAATGAAACATCACGCAATGTATTAGACCAAACTAGAGAAGAAACTCGAAGAACATTAGATCAATTACAAAAAGATAAAAACTCTAAACTTGCACAAATGCATGACAGAAAAATTATGGAAATACAACAAAAGTATGAACAAGAAATGGAAGAAATTGGATTAGCACATGATGCAGCAGCAACTCAGCCTAACTTCAATGTTATTTCAGAGATGAGAAAATATGAAAATAGTGTAGCTGCTGAAAAACGCGGTAAAGAAGCGATTCAATCATTAAAACAGGCTGAGAAGCCAAATGCTGCACAGCTAAAACAGAAAAGATTACGACAAGTACGTAAAGTAGAAGATACTCGATCAGCTCTTGTATCAAATATTCCTAAACAAATAAATTCTCCGAAAACAAAATTTTCAATCCATCCAGCAGATTCTACTACATCCTTTGCTGAAGTTATACGTACACATGATTCACAAAGAAGTGATGATAATGATATTCACGTGATTAAAACATATGTTTCTCCAAAAAAAAGAAAACAAACTAAAGTAATCAGTAAGAAAACACCTAAAAAACTAACCGTAAAAACAAATGGGAAAATTAGTTCTCAAGTACATAAACCTAAATCACAACAACGAGTAGTTGTTGAAATACATCAAGAAGACGTGCCATCTGTAAAAGATGACGAAGATCAATCGAAGCAACGAAATCAATTTGTAGTGAATGTAGATGCAAATCAAGATGATATTGAGTATGTCATTTGTGATTCAGACAATCAACATACTTCAAATTGTGAATCAAAAGCTTCAAAATGTGTAAAATCTCAAGTGTCAACTCAAAAACAAGATAGTCAACATTTAGAATATAATCCAGATGATTACCAGCAACAAACATCTGAAGAATCAATTTGTAATAATCGTAATGTTTGTAACAGTAATTTCAGTTTATCATCGAGTGAAGATTCTTCATATTTTTCTGACACTACTGCCGTTGCAGCTGTTCCAAACAATACCCCTGTAGAAATTCGTCCAACAACTACTATTAAAACTTGTAGAAGTGCAGCTAACCGTGATGGTAAATTAAATAAGACTGTTCAACGGAAAAAGGATCATTTAAAAGGTATTGTGCAAAAGTTAAATGTAAAAGATGAATTAAATGCTATAGATAAAGCTCGATTCATTACGGAACAAGAAGAGAAAAAATTAGCTCATAAAAATAAATTAGAAGAAATTCAAAAAAAACGTGGTATTGAAGCATTTAAACGTGAAAGGACTAAACGTGAACATGAGATATTTTTTAAAAATTTAGAAAATTTAACCCGTGATGAAAGACAATTAAGAGCTTTGAATATTAAGAACAGATTAGAACAACAAAAATTATTGAATCTACGAAGAAAAATAATAAATAATACTTGTAATGAACAGGAATATAAATGTTCTTGTTGTAATGATGAAATAATTATAAGAGAACCAATAAAAATACCCTGCTGCAAACCAACGGACATAAGTAAAGCTCAAGGACGATGGGAAAAAACTTTTGATCAGGATGACGGCAATTTTCGTGAAGATATACCTTTATCACGAAATGAACAAATTTTAGATATGTTAAAAAAGGTCGAAAGACAAAAAATACTTTTATTAAAAGAATATGGCGATTCACTGCCAGATGAAATTCTTTCTGCCAGTATGACCTCACTTTTCAATGAGAGTAAATCTAAAAAAGCCGGTTCTTCTTATAGACAAAGTGAACCTGAACGCAGAAGATCACCGGAAATCAAAGTTATTAATGTATCTAAAACTAGTGAGTCTTCTGACGCTAAAAAAAGTAAATTAAAGAAAAAAGATAAAAAAAAGAAAGCTGATGTTGATACAGTAGATAAAAGTGAAATAGCTGTTCAAACATCACAATATAATCAAGTTGGTGAAGATAAAAGTGTTCAAGTTGAATTATCTGATAGGCTTGAGCAACGGTCAAGAAAATCTAAAGATTCAGATAAACTAGAACATGTTGAACCAGTAATAAACATAATCACTCATGGTGAAGTAAGCAGTACCGAATCATTTAATCGTCCTAGTATTGTAATTAATGTTGGTAATGGAACAATTCATAATGCGACTAAACATGCACAACAGAATAACTTGAATGTATTAAAAAAAACCTCACCACGATCTAAAGCTCGATCACTTCCTTCTAATTCTCCAACCAAAAAATTATCAACTAACACAGTAACATCTACGTCGGCGCCTACTTCTCGAGCAGGTAGTCCTATACAAATACAGGAATCAACAGATAGTATTGAATCACAAGTGGAAAAAGTACCAAAACAACTTCCAAAACGTTCTCCTAAAAAAATTAAGAAAAAATCTTTAGCTCTAAAAACAAACGATCATCCATCTAGTAAAAATACTTCAACACAATATTCACCTGATATTCAATCAGCTTCTAAAAAATCCTACACAGTAAGACAACAAATTATTTATACAGACAATTCAGAAGCATCTTCATCTTATGCAAGTTTATCAGCTTTAAAACCAAGTTCTATTCTTGAAAGTAATAGTAATACATCCCTTATTCAATTATTATGTGCATCAATAAGTGATAGTAAAAGAAAATTAGCTGATGAAATAAGTCCAGTAAGTACTCCAGAAACACCATCGATGCGTGTAATAAATATGCCTTCTAACATTCCACATCCCAATCGTATTAATCGAATTTTAAAGTATTCTGATGATAAAAGGAAGAGAGAAAAAAAGACAACACTTTTAAAGCATGAAGAACAACGACAATTATTTGATTCTCACAATAGCTCTAAACAAAGCTCAAATGGTGTAGGTTGTAGTGAACCTTGTTGTACTTGTAAGAATCGCTCTTATCGAACAATTAATGAAGATATTGGTGAAATAATTCACCGTGGTAATCGTATGTCAGAACAGGATTCTTTGATGATTAATAAACTTGATGATATGCAAGTAGAATGTATAGAAAATTTGAATACACTTGATACTATGCTCCATAAAGTTAGACAAGATCAAGAACCATCAATTATGACACAAACTACAGAAACCAGTATTAGAACGTTACCAACGATGCCATATGAGAGTAATGTAATGTATTTGAAAAAATGTCAAGAAAATATTGATTCAATGGCTAATCGTATTTTGAAAACTTATACTGAATTTAAGAAAATTGATCAAAATTATCAACTATCGCATGATTTATCTCCTATTGTTGAGACGCCAAAATTAACAAATCCCCCAAAAAATGAATCATCCTTAGCTGCTAAAACTAAACCTACAATTATAAAAGACGAAAAGGTTAACATAGACATACAAAGATTTAAAAAGCAATTAGATTCTGAAGTTTTACCAACCACTTCTTCATCAAAAACTGATTCCATGGTAGAAAAATTATCTAACGAAATTTTAGAGCAAAGCAAAAAATTAGAAAAATACAGACCTCTTGAAGAAATATCGTTTGAAGATCAAACTATTCATCATGAATTGCCTTTAACAGGAAGGAGTAATTCAGGACTAGTTACGTCGTCGCCAATAGACGCAGTAGAAGAAGAGAGAATGAAGGATATTCAAATTACAAAAGTAAAATCAAAATTCAATTGAAATAATTTTTTTAACATTTATTTTTAAATTATTAATTTTATTTTCTTCTTTTAGATCATTAAACAGGACAATTTTGGTCATATATTAAAAGATATACCGAAAATTCCTCTGAGTAATGGATTAAAAAATCGGTAAGAAAAAAGGCTAATAGAATTTCATATTTATATGTTTATATTAAAATATTGAAGAAAAATTTCAAATGAATGTAAATATTTGATTTAAATTTTATAGAATTGAAGGTAGGCGCCCGGAGTTATCAACAATTGAAGAATTAGATACTCCAGACACAGCATCTCGAAGTATGGCGAGTGTAAGAACTCCATCAGCTAAATCTCAAAAAATATACGTGGATGATAATCTATCAAAAAAACTGGTTTCTGATAATATTAAAAATATCCAAAATAATAACGTACCGATTTTATCGAATTTAGGTGAGGCATCCATTAAACAAAGTAACGAGAAAGCCGTTCAAAAAGAATTCACGATAAAGATGTCAGATATGCTTAATAATGAACTTGTTCCGATTTCGGGTGACAATTATGACGAAAATGATCGAGAAAATAATAAACAACTCATGATATCATTGTCTAAAAATGCTCATGGTATAAAAAGTGATCGTTTCAAAGTTGACGAGACATTGAAATCATTAGATTCTTTTTTGATTCATTGTAGCGCAAGAAATATTGAAATTAAGAGTGATAAGATTTCATCAAGTAGTTCTAGTAGTTTTTCCAGGTTTTCGGGAATATCTGATATTTTAAGTACTCCAACTTCAAATACTATGACTTCACCTCCTGAAAAGATGGAAGATTTTCTTATGGGGTTGGGTTTAGCGTGGCTTATTCCAATAGCTCGAAAAACTCGTGAAGCAAGCGCTTTAACTTCTTCGTCTAGTTCTGATATAACGGTAGCTATGGCTAAACGAACCAAGTCACCAATCAAAAAACCAACAAATAATAATAACCCAGCATCAACATTACCAGGTTTTAGTGATGTATCTTCAATCTCTATTAAAGAAGCTAGTAAAAGTACTGAGAAAACCGTTCTCATGAAAGGGCGGACTTCTACTCCAAACATATCAAATTTCCATCACACTAGTGAAAAATCAAGTATTATCACTACTAGTACATCTGGTAGAATGAGCTTATCAGATTTGAGTGATAGCTTGATTGTTACTAATTTATCACTTCATGTCAAGACTTGAAAATATATATACATAATGTTTCATATATTTTTATATAACACAATACCTCAACTATACATATGTACGTAATATATTTTTATTAATGGTATTTTTAAATTGCAAAAATTTTATTCATAAATTAATTGATTTTAATGTATTATATACGGCTTTTACGATTCAAATTTTTAATCTATATTTTTTATGAATACAATACCTTGATCAGATGTATCTTAAAAAGTATATAAATAATTATTTTAAAATATTTTTAAAAGAATTTTATATATTTTTAAAAGAAATTTTATGAAAAGTTAATTGATCAACTCATAAAGAATTATCTGACTGTCGGAATTGTGAATTAAGTATTTAATATTAAGATAAAATTATAAGCTTATTAAATGTTAACTAAAATATGGTAGAAAATATTAACGGTACATCATCAAAAAGTATCTGGATAAAAGGTTGGTGTTCTAGAATTTTTTTTTTGATAAATTCATAATCATTAAGGTTGAATTGATTGAACATTTACAAAATAAATATAATTAGAAAATAAAACATTGTCGTTAACCGTTAATAGCAATCAATCAACGTCTTTAGACAATAATAAAAGACTTAATCATCATGAGGAAAAGTGTAAATTATTTTTTTTATAATTTTTTGCAGAATTAATAAAAGAATTATTGATATTGTATGTCATAAATTCTAAATTACTTGAAAGAATGATTGAAAAATGGTTTTATATAATCCCGCGCAATTTGCTATTTTTAATACATCACAAAATAAAAGTGAATCTGATATTAAAAAACGTTACGTTGTCATTGATAATTATATAAATAATTATATAATTGGTGATGAACTGTATCAAGATTTTATTTAAAAGAGTATTCTATTGATTATTCGAAAATTTAGATCAAATAACAACTGAAAATTGGTGTCTTTTTATATTTCCTCTTAAATGCATGCTGGTACTCGCGGATGGTGCGCATGTACATTGAATATCTTGAATAGTGCCCTCATCGGGGTACTTCCATACTAACGCGAAACTTATAATAAAGCGCTACTACATGCGTATATAATTTATCTTGGAATATGGCCATTATCGTATTTAGCATTACGACTTGCCAAAGTTGATAATTTGTGGTTCTAACGATTCTAGATTTGTGCCTAACAGCTAGTAAATTGATTAGAAATTTATTCTGGTGTGATCAGTGTAATTGCATATTCATTTTTTTCGGTGCATTTAGTGTGATGGTCGTATGTAATACAACCGTCCACCACCGTTATTATTATCCCTAGTGAATATTTGCCATTTATAATCCAGCGAGTTGAACAATTATCGTTAAATCGATTTTTTAAAAGCTAAGAGTAGTCATATTATAATTATTAATCGTATTATCGTCAACAATTCTTTTCAAGCGCCAAAGTTCTTCGCATCGGCGCTTTTTTCATCCCAAGTGGTATCAATGTTGTCTGGCAATGGTGTGTAAAGAGAACGTCGTATCATGGTTTGGAAATCTGTCCAGGTATTTTTACTTTGTATATATTTCAATCATTTTATTTACATTCAATTTAATATTAAATAGTATTTTCGTTACATTTTATTTTGCCGTAGTATCACAATCAACGTACTATAATTGTCTTTTAGATTATTCATTTTTATATTTATTTTCTTTGTTTAGAGTTCAATGTTGAATGGTAGAATTAATTTTTTTTTTTCTTGTTTAGTATTTATTTTTCGTAGTAATTTTGTTTATTTTTGAATAGACAAATTTTATATTATGTTAACATTAGGCAGCTGGTATGAAAAATGAATATGTGTAATATATAGATATACAAATATATATATATATATTGTAAATGTATATATATATACATTTACATCTATGAATATTAATATTTGTTATTTAGTTGTTGAATAATTATTTTATTCCAGTTATAAACGTATCGATGTTATGAACGTATTGCTAAATATGTGCTTACCATGTGAAGTTCGATATCTTGGAACATGCATTGAGGATAGAGGCAAACGGGATTACAATGATTTGCGTGATGCTGAACATCATGCAAATACTGTAAGCGATCTTACAGATTTGATGAATCTCGGTGTTATAGACAAAAAGACAAGAAGAAGATTGGTACTCTATATGGCACTTTTACATGGCAGTAATTATAAATGTGCTACAGTGCTCCACAAAGGTTTAGCAAATCTGGATATTCAAGAAATAATTTCATTAATTGGGACCAGTCAAGATGAGCAATTATTAGAAGAACTTTTACTCTTATATACAATGGCACTCAATCATCCTGCCTTTAATTATGAACAGAAAAGTGCGTTCAGTAATATTTATCTTAAACTACAGGAGGAAGAAGAATCGCGAAATAATTTAAAACCTGTAGTAAATATGTCATATAAACCAGTGCCAGGATGTGGACCATGTGGTAGCCCAAGTGATCGTTTGACTGATCCAATTGATATGTCAACCAATTGTACAATACCACCTCCTATGCAACATTTTGGTGATATACAGATGCGAAATAATCCAATCGTTAGTGGAATTCCATCAAGTATGACAATGCCACCACCTCCTCCAGGGATGTGCTTACCACCTCCAGATCAAATTACAATGAATCCTCCTAATACTCCAACGCAGTATCTTCATCTTGGCTTTCCAGCTGTTAATTCTATAGCACCATGGTCAGGACAAACTATGATGATTGGAAATCAAATGGTATATCACACAGGTGATATGGTAACTTATCCGGCATCTCCTCTAGTAAGTCGACCATCATCACCATCTCAGTCTCGATCACCAAGTCGAAGTAATTCGCCCTTGGGTCGTAGAAATAATCGATGGCCGTTTGAAGATCGTTCAAGTATTGGTCCAACAACGCCTATGACTCCAAATACAATATCTGTGAGCAGTAATGTATCTAGTAATCAAACTAGTGTCACCAATACAAATGTAAGTGGTCACATACTTCCTGGTTCATCTCTTGGAACAAATAGAAATATTCCATCCAGTCAACAATCCGTACTTCCACCGAAATCTGTACCACCACCATCAAGTTCGCCATTAACTACTACTGGCACCTATTCACGACACAGTAACGTTGACAATACAACAACCGCAGCTACTCAAGCAACTTCATCAAAACATCAACCACTTTCACGAATACGATCATCAATATCAGGCGATTCATTGAGAGAAACATTAGGCAAAGAAATGCCAAATTATAAAGGAAATTTGCAAAATCATTCATTGGAAGAGGTAAATATTTCTCATAAAATAGAAATACATTTCATCTCATATCATACTAAGTATAAGAAACCATTATTCACATTAAAAAAATACTAAATTAATTTCATTGTAGATAAGACGAATGAGTGATGATGATTTAAGAGATATTGGATTAACGCCAAATGCTGTGGGTCAATTAAGAAATATTATTCGCACCCAAACAACTGCTGCAAATGGTTTGAGTCAAATGACCATCGATAAAAAAGAGAGCACTACTGGGAATTTAATTCATTCTTCAGTTTCCGAACAATCCGATAATGAGGTAAATGAACCATTATTAATTTTTTTAATAATAAAAAATAATATTAAAAATACTATATAATAATTTCAGACTGGAAGTGATTTATCAAATGAAAATTCAATTTCTACAATAAAACAACCATTGATCGGAGATTTACATCAATCAATTCATCATCATCACCATCACCATCATCATCATCATAGTCATCCTTCAAATATTGGTGGAGTAAGACGTTATCAAGCAATACAACCGCCTGTAGATCCATCTCAAATATCGATATATCACTCACCCCAAACTGCAATGTATGCAACACAAAATCCTTGTTACGCTTGTCTTACAGTTCCAGTGGCTGGAATGCAAAATCGTTATCCAAGGTAAATTATTTGTTATCTTACTGTAAGACAGAAATAAATTTTTTATTTTAAACTTTGCATGTAAATTAAACTCTATGTTATTAGTAAGAAAATAGTGACATTTTTTACAGGTGTAATGCTCAACATATGTATTGTGTGGCTCAACTATCAACTTTGAGATTGGATGCTGATAGTAATCGTCAATGTTCACAAAGTAGTAGTTCTGATAGTACTGGAAGTCGTTCACCACCTGAGACTCCTCCCGCAGCGCCGTGGCCAAACAATACCACTCCTACAATAACCAACGATAGTTGTAGTACGTCTGGTGGAACAACTGACCAAACTCCAGGTAGCTCTGTTCTTTCTTATTCTGCGGTAGCCGTATCACATCAAAATATACCATCAGTTCAACAACAAATCAACGAACGTTCTCGTTCGAAAAAAAGTCAAGCACAAATGATGCGTAAAAATCAAGTAATGAATGGTGGTGGTGGTAATGGTAATGGCAGTGGTAGTAATAGTGGAAATAGTGGTGGTACTGTTGCTCCTCCTCCACAAGTAAATTTATCAACAACACCCCATTGTATATCAGCTTTCCCGGGGCCAACGAATCATCCACAAATGACATTTCTCCCGCATGGTCATTTTCCAGCATTAAGACCCAATAGCGGCATTTACTCGAGTGGTTTTTCTCATTCAATATTTTCTCGACCTACGTATCAAAGCTATCAGCCGAATGGCGAAATGATGTATCCATATCCAGGGCAACCTGGTGCTGCAGGAGGAACACCGCCACCACCTCCACCACCCTTGCCTCCACCTACGGGGACAACAGCTGTAGCTGCTGTAGGTGTTGCACCATCACAAACTTATTTGCCATCCACACCCGTGGTTGTTCCTCATACTTCTGCCGTCCAGCCAACAAAAATTTCGTGTTACAATTGTGGAAGTAGTAACCATCTCGCTAATGAATGTAAGGATCAAACTATGGAAGATATTACAAAAAGAGGTTAGTTTTTAAAAGAATATAATTCCTTATTCGTTTTTTATTTTTTATATTTTATTTATTTTCATATTTATCCATCTTTTATGATTCGTAATTTAAGTTAATAAATGGTATAATTTCAGCTCAATATCGACTCGATTATTCAATAATGAAACAACCTGGAGATTGCCCTGATGAGTGATTTCTTCGAATCATCTTTATCTTTATACTCACAAATGTTATACATATACAACTGTTGTCATCTTCTTACTCTTATATTAATTATCATATACATTCATTACTATTATCACAGAAATAAGATTTTCAGGCATAATTCGACTTAAAACAACAATAATAATCAAAAGAAATTTTTTTTAATACTACATTTACGTTTTACAAATTCATTTTTATTGCATTACCGAATGTTATTAATGTATATGTATATTAAAGGAGTGAAAAATAGTAATAGTCATAGCATAATTAAAAAAGAGAATCTTGTAAAAAAAAATATCAACAGTAAGACGTACTAATTATGGGCACTTGAGAAAATATGATTTCAATTCATCTTATAGATGTATAAAAAAAAAACTATTGAATGTCATATTTAAGACATAAATAGTAGCTCATATCTAATTGTAAAAAATTTATCTGCAATTAACGAAAATGTCTGAATTTTTTACAGACACTTGAAAAATGAAATTATCGCATTATAATCCGGTGAATGTAATTATTGCCCATTTACCTAACTATTATTGTATCATTATTATACTCTATCGATTTTACCCTCATTTCTCTTGTTCAAATACATATTGAACTTTTAATTCATATAATATAATATAATAATATAATATATTCTACACATATATATATATACATAGGTATGCATATGAATACATATATATATGTGTACGATATTTATGTATATATCAATTTCAATGTATACGATGGATATAAATGACCATAAGTGTTCGATTATATTTATACATACAGGATGAACTACGTAACACTAAGTATTTGTATTGTTCAAAGCGACAAATGTCTAATTTTGCGTATTTTATCTTGTATTGTTGTAATTACACTTGTGCTATAAGTTAAACTGAACGTGTATGTAAATGTCAAAATGTGAGATCAGTTATAAGAATCATGAATAATTATTATTTTTAAACTACTTGATTAACTGTTTTTTCGTTTGACATTTTTTTGTTGACAATTCTACCTGCAATTAAGACTGGGTGAAATTTCGATTAAATAAATATAGACCATTACTCAGCAAAAAAAACTATTATGTTGATTCATTTGGGTACTATTCTCGTTATCCCAAGTGCTCTCTTGTTTATTTAGGTAGAAATCAAATTATGCAACGAATGTCATATTATTAAAATACAATTGCTACGATACAAATGATATTGATACTAGTAATAAATAAAATATATTAACTGTTTTTGCCAATTAATTATATAAAGATATAGTTTTAAAAAATAAATTTAATATTATTATTATTCTAATAATTATTATTTCAATTATAGTTTATAAGATTTATTAAATAGTTATTAACGAAACTGCGTTTTCAATTAATTATTGTTTTAAATATCATATCACAGTTTTTCATTATTAAAGCTCATAAAATTTTTAACGACAATTATATCTCTGATGAAATGTTAACACTAGTTTTATGTACCACATCTCATATATGTATATATGTATATATATATATAAATTAAAAAAATATATATATATACATATGCATATATTGGGCGTAGTGACTTAAATTTTTTTGAAAAACGATAGATTTTTTTAGCGCACAATTGTAAATTTTTACGAAAAACAAATAGATAATGTATTTTATTAATATCCTTGTATAAAATTATTTTGTTTTTATACGAAATGAAATTTTTTTTGAGAGACGTTATGCTTACGAAGAATCTCATTAATTGTATTAAATGTAAAAAAAATATAAATATATCTATCTGTGGTAATAATAATGAATGTAATCAAATGTAATTGTGAAGAAAAATATTTATTTTAATGTATAGTGTGCTATTACTATTTGCTTTTTTGGCTTTATTAGTGACAAATTCTGATTGATGATGCTTGTGCAAACATTGTAAAATAATAAATTTCCGAGTGATTTTTCATATGTTGTAAAAATAATGCATTTGAATTGGTAAATATGGTAAAATTGAACAAATGGTATATATATATATACGTATTTTTTTCTAATATTTTTTTTCCTTTTTCTTATGTAAAGTAACACTAAATTACGTGATTATTTCACTAATGAAGAGACATAACAGAGAAAAAATCAACAAAAAAAAAAAAACAAATAAAATTTATATAAAATTGGTTCGTATAATGTACATATAAAAGTAAATAATTTCCGTGCTTAAAAATTTATGTATAGACGTATGTACATATTTATGAATATATTGTAATATAAATATATCAAATATATTGCAATATATTTATATATTCTGTTGTCTGGGAAGATAAAAAAAATTTACAAATATTTTAATCTTCTGTAATAAAATATTTATTAAAAGATATATAATGAAAAATGTTTTTACTCTTTTTTATTGTTCAATAATTAGTTAATTTAAATAACATGTAGTCATGAGTTATAAATAGTTTAATGAATCAAGAAAGAAGAACTCTATTTGTTTATATTGTTTTGACGGAAAAGTCAATCCTAAATTCTTTACATATTATTATCTATTTATTTACACTTTCTAAAGGCCCATTTCATCTACGGAACTTACAATTTCCTTTAAACCTATTTCTGTCAGATACACCGAAACAGAAAATCCTGAACATAAATTTGTTCATCTATTCATTTGATCAATTTTTTTTATAGATGCAATGTCATATATTTTTAAAAAAATAAATTCAAAATTGATCTCTACTTCCAAAACGAATTATCAAATAGAGTTTTTCTTCTGCAGTCGATTGGACTACAAGCCTAGACTGACATAACAAACCGTGACCTACTAAAATTAAAAATATGTAATAAGAAACAGTTTCTGGGGGAAGAGTTATTTAAAGCAACGGAAAATGTATGGCCCTGTATCATCATACAATCGGAAGTGGGAAAAAAATGTATAAATATCTTTAAATGTAAAAAAATTGATACATACATATGTATGTACCTAGAACTAAATAAATACGTATATGATTTGAACGGATGCGCAGTAGCATTATCAGACAATCCGACAATCGTTGATAATAATATGGTGTATTGCGTTTGCGCGTTTAAGTTAACGAAACTGGGACTAGAGTATCTGTGATCGCTCAATATTCATCCCCTGTAAACTGCTTGCAGTAGTAGCACAGGCGTTGAGTTCACCAACAGCATTTGAAGGAGCTGCATTATTCTGCCCCTTCGTTCTTCAATAAGTCAATTGCTGTTGTTGCTTAGAACTCCAAAACTCCTTTGAATAAAATTACATTTTTATTCATTTAAATAAGTTAATTTTCATCAGTTTCAACTTATCTTATCAACATGGAAGAGAAAAAAGTTGAGCAATATTACACACCACCCCCGGAACTTGGAAAATGGGAAGCTTTTAAAATTTTTCTATGGAATTCTGAGACTGGACAATTTCTTGGTCGTACCGGAGCCAGTTGGGGTAAGTTTCATTTATTTGGATAATTTAACAATCAATACTTTATTCTTAAATTAATTAGATTTTATTGCTTATCAGTCTAGTGATTTAATTAGCTATGTAATATCAATATATTACATAAAATGATCTTACCAATATATTTTTGGTTTTTCATTTTTAACATTTGGCCCCAATATTACGACATAATCAATATTCTCCGAGGCAACGCGCGGGGCAACACGGGCGTTCACTAGACTACAGAAATATTATATACCTAATACCGCCGCACCCATTGTTCTTAAATTTAATAATCCAATAATCATTGCCCTCTTTCAATTACTAATTCATAATTCTTAAGAAAAAAAGCTTTTCTGCATGGAGTGATATACTCATCGACAAATTATTTTAAAATATTCTATGACCAGTAGCAAAGCGCAAAAGAAGGTTTTGGAAAGAAATCAATATTCAGTAAAAGATCACATATGTCATTCTTGTTATTTATTATAACTTAAAATTCACTTCGGCTTACACTCTACGATGACATAACAAATAACTTTTTATTTTAAAAGAAGATAAACTTCGTTAAAACTAAAAAAATTCAGTTAAAATGACTGAATTTTTTGGAGCTTGAAGTGTTATGTAAGCACAAATTTAGTGATCTGCTAAGACTAGCATTGATCGTGCACCTTTGCTATTTCATTGCATAGAGCTACCCTTTGTTCACTTCTTAATGCCCACTATTATTTTATGTGGCTTTGAAGTTTATTCTAATAACATTTATGGTAGAATAAAATGCTTTTCATCAAATATGTGTATGACGATAGTGATCGGTCAAATGCACAAAGTGTTATCATATACATGATAAAATATATATTTATAATAATTTTTGTGAATCTTATAATGGAAATATCAAAGTAAAAATAACACTTGATGACGTTTGTGTAAATGATAATATTTGATCAATACTATTTACCATTTGCAAATCAATTTATTAGAGGACAATAGTAGCACGCAAGATTCAATTTAGGCCAATTAACTATCATATAATAATTGCTGACTTGTTAGTTGATCATCAAATGGACTCAATATCGATTGAGAAATTCTTATTGTGTTTATAAGTGTTATTTTGATGATTTTTGTTTAATATATGATTTATTTTAAATAATTTTTATATTTTATTTTGTTTTATTAATATATTTCAGCCAAGATTTTGTTGTTCTACGTTATTTTTTATGGCGTTTTATCTGGGTTCTTTGGAGCCATGTTAACCGTTTTCTATCAAACGCTTGATCACACTGCACCTAAATGGAAAATGGACAGTTCATTAATTGGTAGCAATCCAGGATTAGGATTCAGACCGATGCCTCCAGATAGTAATGTTGAAAGTACTCTTATCTGGTACAAAGCCAGTAACAAAGGCAATTACGAACATTGGACTAAAGCTATAGATAAATTCCTTGAAGGTACATATGAGTGTTTATAATAAAGTTTTAATGAAGAAATAAAACAAGAAATTTATTCTTCTTTTATATTAGTGTATCAGGCGCCAATGTCGAATGACATCATGTCTAAAAATGAAGCCCGAGTTGTGTGTGATTATGGAAAACCTGCACCACCTGGAAAATCTTGTGATGTTGATCTCAAAAAGTTTGAACCATGCATTAAAGAAAAAGCTTACATGTATCCTGATTATCATCCTTGTATATTTCTCAAGCTCAACAAAGTATAAAATTTATATTAAATTCATTTTCCAATAAAAAAAAAATTATTTCTTTTTTACTAAAATTTATGATTTATCATCTTTAGATATTTGATTGGCAACCAGAATTCTACAACGATACGGAAAATCTTCCTGAAAATATGCCAAATGACTTGAAAAATCGTATCAAAACTGCAAAGATTCGAAGCCCAGAGGAATTACAAACTATCTGGGTTTCTTGTGAAGGTGAGAATCCTGCTGATGTTGAAAACATTGGACCTATTCAATACAGACCACGATCTGGATTTCCTGGCTACTACTTTCCATACCGAAACAGTCCTGGCTATCTTAGCCCTCTTGTTGCTGTGTGGTTTGAAGCACCCAAACGTAAGTATTGATTATAAAAAATATTATTATTGTTATTGACCAGTCTTTTTTTACCAATTTCATTATTTTCAGGCAATGTACTTATCAATATTGAATGTAAAGCATGGGCTCGAAATATTATCCATGATAGGGTAGAAAGACGTGGATCTGTTCATTTTGAATTAATGGTAGATTAAACAATTTAATTCCAAAACGACCACTAATCAGACAATGCTTTTTCATAAGTAATTTTTTGAACAAAAATTATACCGATCATTCCTTTCTTATTTTATGTCATAATGAACATATTCCAAAATGATATTAATAAATAATAATTACGGAAATAAAACTGTAATATTAATAGTGGTCGTCTTTAATGTTTCACTGCCGTGATTGCACGTTATCTACACAATATTATTCAGTTTATAATACCAAATAGAATCAAGTTGCAATTTTACTCGAATGATAAAATGCACAAAACAAAAGATAAATTTAACTAAACATCTAAAATCAATAAAAGAAAGAGGAATGATCGGTTTGAGTGTTGATTTAATAATGTAGAATAATAGTGAGCAAAGCTAACGTGAGTTGATTATAAAACTAATTAATTGGTAAGTGATCGAACTAGCGATCTAATACAAATTATTGTTGAATTACTTACTTATTGATAATTTTATGAATTATACTTATATTCATTCATTCATTATGAATGCTCATTTTTGTACTTAATTATTTAAATTATAAACATTGAGATTTGTAACTTGAAAAAACTAGTGCAATATTATGATTTATGAATTATGTTAACGCATCTCATACTTAAATAAAATATACTTAATATAAAAATTGTTTGTCTGTGAAACTAAACACACAATTGAGACAAACGTAAAAAGCGAATAATGAAAAATCGAATAAAGAGAATGTTGAAAATCAATTTGATGCTTTGAAATGTTATTAATAATAACAAATTGCTAAATACCTAACTACAAATGCATTCAATATCTGTCAAGTTTATGTATTTTATCTCTGAATTGAAGTGTAGTACTCTTTGATCATTTAATTTTTCGTTAATAATAAACTATTGGCCCAATTTTGGCTCAATATCATTTGACACATCATTTATTTGCATTTGTAAAAAAATCATGCACGCACTATTTCAAAAAATTTTTTTGCCAAGTAGATTTAAATAACGAAAATTCATATAGTTCGTTTATGTTAATGATTATTATTAATTATATAAGCAATGTTAAAAATTATATAATAATATAATACTTATTATGTATTAGAATTGTAGTATATAATCGTACGTTACACATAGTTGATATGATAATATTTAGGTACTCGATTAAATTGGTAAATTGTGATGAAAAATAAAGAAAACCTTTTAAAAAATAATAAAAACTAAGAAAATGGATTAAAAATTAATTACTTAAAAGAATATTTAAAAAAATAGCATACTGCTGAGAATATATGTAAATCATTAGTGTTACTTATTTGCAGAGCTTTAGTATTTATTGTATTAATATTATAATTACTTTTATTTAAAAATTATTATTTAATATTTTGTTTATTTATAAGCTATGAGCATACATTTAGCTTAATTTAAATAAACCTTTGATTATCTTTATGTTCAATGTTTTTTTTAATTCAAAAATCAAATTTTATTCATGACGATAGATATAATTATTTATTAAAGCTGTTTTAGATACTGAATCTAGAAAATAAAAAAGATTTAAATCAATTTTTTGAAATGCTTTAAATATTAACGAAAAATCACTAAACGGCAGAATCGATTAAACTAGTAAATAAATAAAAATATAAGATTTAAATATGTTTATTATCGTTAAAGATAAAACTGTTTCTTATATCAAAATATTTGATGATGTTACGATACGTGAAAACCATGAGTATGGAAGTTTAGAACGATTGTAATAAATTGCGAAAATTCGAGTGAGAGTGAGAGAGACAGTGGAAAATATTCAAATTTCAATTGAAGAAACTGTAACTTTTAACAATAATTATTACTTTATAAAGTTTAACATAATCTAAAAATCAGCCAAAGTTTTGTTCTATTTATCCGATAATTTATTGTGTAATTTGTATGAAATTTTCAAAAAATTATGTTAATTTGAAAATAATTTTTTTTTTAAATATAATAACATTATTACTAACAATAAATTGTACTTTGTGAATTATAACTTTTGCCGTGATACTTATACTATAATTATTATGCAATTGAACGATCAATTTCAAAAACTCATCGATTTGCTAAATTACGGTCGTTACGTATTGTGGACTAATAAAAAAAAAAAAGAAAATTGACAAAAAATTTTCGTAAATGATCACTTATATATAGCCTTGATTTTAAACTCAACGTCTTATCTCACATTAACACACGGTATAATAATAACATAACACATATTGTCATAAAACACTGCAAGTAATGTCGTTAGGCAGGATGTAGTCAATTTAGATGAAAAGCACCATGTGTGACTCACAATCAGGAATATTATATAGGTGACTAGTTCTAGCCAGATTACAGAGGCTACAATTAGTGAAGGACAATACTCACAATTCGTCCCTAAGTATTTTTGTTCTATCGTCTCATGTACTTTTCGTTATCATGACAGAACTCCGGGTGCATTTATAACAAAACTTCATGGTTTTATACTACATTGCAAGCTTAAAGGTCATTATAATAATCCAATTCGTTCATTTTCGATGACATAACAATACCATATATAATTTTAATGAATTATTTGATAATTAAAAAGTAATTTTTTTTGGCACAGCAAAATGAAATTACTCCAAAAATTTGATAACATAAATCATGAATTAAAGTTAAAACTCCAAAATAATTTTTTAGATAAAAATGTAAGGAATAATGCATTTAGTATTTAAATTATTTTTGAATTGAAGATAATGTTGCCTAAACTTGAAGCCCTTAGGCAATTCAATGGAACGTGGAATTTAAGTAGTTAACTGAATAAATAGAGAATATTTTATTTATCTTTAATATTCCATATATCAACTTCCTATAATACTTAGTTAAATTGACAACGTTCAATTGACCATACTATATTTAAATGAATGTTTCACCATATGAATATATTTTTTGTATTTCTTCCATCTGTTTAATTTATTCGTCAGGTGTAACGTACTGTAGTAATATACAATGCATGGTGTAAGAGTAAAAGAGAGAAACAGAAAATACGCACCAAGAAGAGTGAAAAGGTGTACTATATACACTGAAGAGAAGGGGACTGGTCACGGTGCTGTACACTCATCAACCGACGCCTCATTCGAGTTTAGTTTAGCCTATGCACTGCGGTATTCGTGATCAACTGTTGAAATTATTTCTAATAATTAACTTTGAATAGTTAAATTGTGTACTTTATGCAATAATCATCGTGAAAACCTAATTGTAAACAAAGTAAACATAAACAAGAGCAGCAAAATGGTGGCAAAGGATTCAAAAAAGGACCAAACTCCAGAGTTAATGAACCCATATGAGAAACCGCCTAGTATGACAACATCTCAGTCTATAAAAACATTTTTATATAATAAAGAGACTGGGGCGGTTATGGGAAGGACAGCCAGTAGTTGGGGTAGGTTTTTTCATTTTTATCTTCACTATTTTCTTAAAAATATCACTTTTTCTCATGTTTTCAAATCATCATTTTATCAACTGGAATCATAAGAAAACATAAACAAGTTGAGTATCTAATTACTTTTTAATGATAAATATGTATAATTTACATTATTATTACCACAATAATTACAATAATAATTGAGTACAGTTTTATTAATTTTTTCTGGTTTGATGATTGATTGTTTTAGATAAGTAATAATATGCAAAAAAATGAAGTTTCAATTCATTCATATTCTATCAAGACTTGCATGCGATGATTCATAAGAATACAAGTCGTAGTGAACGATTCAAACTATTTACTTTTAATTTATCTGCCGTTGTCAATAACTTAATAATATTTTAATTACCTAAAAAAAACTTTCTCATAAATTACTGTTTTTTTTATGTTGTTTCATAACATTGTCATATATAATCTTACAACTTTGATTCTACATTAAACAAACAAAACACTTTTATGGAATTAATCCCCTCCTCTACTTTTCATTTTGTCCATTAGATCAGTATGAAGCCGTTCATTATAAAGGATTTCTCTATAATGAAGTCGTACTGCACTTTCGAATCCAATACAATAACATCTTCTTAGGAAATTAAAAATTATAAAGTAACTGATCAAACAGGAAAACATACAATTGATTCCGGATACAATAATATATATATATATATATAACGAGATTTTAAAAAACGCGATAAACACCAAATTTAAATTACATGTAACGATGCATAGTTGAATAGCAATTGTTCAACTTCCCTTAGCGTAAACGTATATAACAAGGTCAATTGACATTAAATGGAAGTATTATGGCATTACGTGGATCAGTCATACCAAATAACAGCAGGACACCGTTAGAAGTTATATTTTATATGTAATATTAGAAAAAATAATAAATTTTTCAAATAAACTAATAGTCTAAACAATAATACCTAAAGTTCATTGAATATATTTTATAATTTATCAAAAGAAATATTGAAAATTTATATAGTTGAAATAAAAATAAATATTAGAAATTATCCAAAGGTAAATTTAATTAAAAATTTACAAAGTAGTTGTATCTATTTTTTGAAAATATTTTTATTATATTTATTTCAGAATGTAGAAAACTATATTCTTAACACGTTATAACCTTGACGTAACATTGAATAAGAGTAATTGAATTGTACCAATTGTACAGGCATGTTAATCCTTTTATAAATTGAACTCCCGTGTTAACATCATCAATTTAGTCGACTTTAATAACGTATATTTGAATACTACGATTGTTTTATACTATTCTTTTATTTTCTATTTATAATACATTATTTTAATATATTATTATAGGAAAAATTGGATTATTTTACTTGATATTTTATGGAGTATTGGCTGCACTTGTAGCTATTTGTTTTTGGGGTTTCTGGCAAACTCTGGATCCTAGGATTCCAAAATGGCAATTAGATCGTTCATTGATCGGGACAAATCCTGGTAGGTCATAAATAATTCTCTCTAGAAAAAAAAATATTTATGGAAATTATTAATAAACTTATATTTTGCATTTTAGGTCTAGGATTCCGGCCTATGCCTCCATTAGAAAATGTTGAAAGTACTCTTATTTGGTTTAAAGGCACCAAAGAAGGAAGTTATCAACTTTGGGTCGATTCACTAAAGGAATTTCTAAATAGTAAATTATTTAATAATTTTAATCGAAATTACTACATAAGTACTAATATTTTATGTGAGAAAATCTGTTCTATCAGATTTAAATAACTTAATTATTTCTTAGTACGAAATAGAATACTAAATAGTAATGGATATAGTTAAAATATCATTGCAAATTTTTCAAGTAAATTAAATTTTAATATTATTTCTTAGAATACAAGAAACCTAGTTCGACGCCTGGTTTGGGTGCTCATGCAAAAACATGTAGTTACAATGACTTACCTAGTCCTGGTGAAGTATGTACAATGGATGTACGAGCGTGGCATCCTTGTACTGAAGAAAACTTTTTTGGCTATCATACATCTAGTCCATGTGTATTCATTAAACTTAATAAGGTGAGATAAAATAAAAATTTACTGAAATAAAACATTTTCTAACTTATTTTATAATCTAATTTACTATTTAGATTTACGGCTGGACACCAGAATATTATAATGACACCAAAAATTTGCCCGATAAAATGCCAAGAAATCTAAAATCTGTTATTGGTAATTTAAGTCGTGAAAATTCACGGGAATTGAATACCGTATGGATCACTTGTCAAGGGGAAAATCCAGCTGATCAAGAAAATATTGGACCTATCAATTACATTCCTCGTCAAGGATTCCCAGGATATTATTATCCATATATGCATCAGGAAGGATACCGCAGTCCATTGGTTGCTGTTCACTTTCAACGACCAAGACGTAAGTACTAAAGTTTTGTCACTTCTAAAATATTTTTCACATATGATTTGTAATAATAATCATTCATTTTGTAATTGTGTAATATATATAAGTTTTTTTTTGCAATGATTTTAGCTGGTATTTTAATAAATGTCGAGTGTAAAGCCTGGGCTCGAAATATAAAACATAATCGAAATGATCGTATGGGATCCGTTCATTTCGAGCTTCTCATTGATTAAATCAAGTGATAATGATTAAATTTTTAAATGACAAATTATAAATAAATTAATAGTATTAAATACTGTAAAAAAATACAATCACATGTATCTTAATCTAAATTTAGATACAGAGATGTTATAATTTTAATAATACTAAAAAATTTTAATAGAAAATCATATTTAGATAATAAAAGTTAAATTTGCACGTAGTAGATATTTAAGCATACATCATTATTTTTGAAAGATCTAATATATCATCATTCCATTATTTATACATATTTATATATTTCTTATAAATATACTGCCATAACAATCAAAAATATAACAATTGTAAATTTCGATACCAATCTTGTATATCATGTTTGTATACTTTGCCTTACTATTTCTAATACAAATTACCAGGTAATAAAAATATCGAATCGACAAAAAAGACACTATTATATCTATTATAGTTTCACTACAATATGTATCCTTTAATTTTATATAAACTTATATGTATATAAAAATACATTTTGTGTATATAAGTACAGTAAGTTGTATCTTTCATTGAAAAATATAAAGTTTTATTTTATAAGTTTTACAAGGCTATCCAGTCTTATTGATAAGTGTTCTTGTCAATCACGATTCATGAAAATATATTAAAGACAATAATCATAGTATTTCTAAATAACAATTATTAAAACTAACCATCAATCAATATTTCGAAATGTACCATACCCAATTTGTCTTTTTTGTCATGCTTTATGTTTTTGGCCCAAGCACGGCATTCCACACTGATTATTTCATTTCCTAGTTTTTTAGAAAAAATAAATAAATCTTAAACATGTTATCAAAATAAATATAGACAAATATAAACTACTATAACAACTTTAAAAAGATTTTTGTAAAATACATACGTGGAGGTCGCAAAAATTGTACTGCTACTAGAGGGCTAAGATAGTCAGGAACAAACCGATAGGGATAATAATAGCCAGGGAAGCCCTGAACATTTTCTGGATAATATTTTATTTGGCCTTTAATTGCTTCTTCATCTTTTGAATTTTCTCCATGACAGCTTACCCAAACAGTCTTTAACTATAATAAAATATATTCCAAATAAATATTAAAAATGATAAATTACAAATACAAAAATAATTAAACTTACTTTTTCTGTATTATTATATGATTTTATTTGTTGTACTAAATCTTTGGGCATTGTGTCAGGAAAGTCTGAATCTGCATCATAGTATTCTGGAACCCAATCGATAATCTGCAAATTCAAGGAATTAAATTAAGTTGGAATATATTAATTAATATTTAATGTATGGTATGTTTATAATGAGAATACATACTTTATTGAGTTTAATAAAAATACAAGGAGCAGACTGGTCAAATCCATAGCTGTTTCCAGGGGAACAGGGACCAAATTGATCAACGTCTACTTTACAAACATGGCCAGGTTTAAGGGATGGATGTTCATAACTACATATTTGTTGATTTTCCCCACCATTAGGAAGACTGGATCGATTTTTATAATCTATTATTCATGAAATGATCCATTAATAAATATTTACTTGTATTATTGAATAATAGATAGGAGAATAATAGAATTTTACTTTCTAAAAAGTCGTCAATACGCTTAACCCATGTTTCAACTTGAGAAACATTTGTTGCTTTATATACTATTAATGCTAATTCTTTGGTATTTTCGGATATTGGCCGGAACCCAAGACCTATAAATTGGAAAATTATTACTTCTGCTCATTGCAATAAATAGACATTTTTTATAATTGTTATTATATATATAAACAAAATGTTACCTGGGCTACTTCCAATTAGACTTTCATGTAAGGTCCATCTAGGTTTTTCTTCATCTATTGTTGCCATCAATCCTGCCATACAAACAGAGAATAAAAGAGCCAAAACACTCAAGAAAGCTAAATAAAAAAGGCCAGTGATACCTAAAAAATTATACCATATTATTAGTGTACATAAGCAATTATAAACAATGTGAATGATGTAAAATTGTCATTGGTCACTTATAATAAGACGATTGACTGTTAATATGTAAAATATACATTTAAAAATACTGTGTAATTGGGCAACTTTCCAGTATCTTTACTAAATATAGAATGACGTATTAAGACTTGTAAGTAGATATTTGATGTATAGAATAAATTTACATTTGTTATAATTTTATTTCTATTAAATTGTTAATTTTATGGTATTGAATTTTTACTTTTTTTTAGTATCTAATTTGTATTTGTTAATATTTGAAAAATAACATTTTATGACTTATGTTAAGCTTTACGCAATTTATTTGTTAGTCATTTTACTTCAACTAATATCTAATGAAGGTTTTTGATAAATAATTTTTAAATACTTTCGAAATAGTTTTCGTATTAAGAAATGTTAGTTTCATTTTTGAGATAAAACAAAAAGATTACTTATCTTAAGAATGTCATAAAATTTTCAAACCAGTTTCATCAACAATTGTTGAGTTTTAAACAAATATATGAAACTATAGTAATGTATGAATATATAAGTCTTATTAATTATGATGATTGTCAATAAATAATTGGAATAATCAAATGATATGAGTTGAATTATTATTATTAATAAAAAGAATACACAAAGAAAATTGATAATGGTGATGAATAAATAGATAAAGACTTGAATTATCATCGGATTATATTTAAATCTCTTTAGTATGTATATCGGAGCAATCTTCCATCGTAGTTGAAAGACTGTAGGCGAGTAACGTCATAAGAAAAGTCCTTGAGACGAAACAAGTCAATGCTTTCGTTACAGGTAAACTTGAGATATTTACAATCTTTAAATCCTCACAAACATTGACCAAACATACTTGATATATGATGAGAAATATAAAAACAATCAATTTAGTGAATTAAAATGTCATAATAATAATAAATTACCCCATTGTTTTCCTGTTTTTCCAAATACCGTGCCATTTTCAGAATCATAAAGAAATTTATGAAATTTTTCCCATCCAGTTTGATTAGGGGGAGGACCTCTCATGTAGTCGTAGTCATTTATATTTTTATCCACGTGGTTTTTTAATTCACTCATTTTTAAAACAGTTAAATAAATCTGCTTCCACTTAATAATACTTTGATAATGTTATAATTATAATGAAATCGTTAATGTTGTTATATAAGTTTCAGTGGTTTTAATTTTTTTCTAATTATTCTTAGATATAATACTTAGTAAAGGCACTCGCGTGGTGTTTGATAAAATGTATGTATGAGCGACCAATGTCTGTTTCAAGCTGCGTACAGACTGGTACTACTAACATGACTGTACGTTCTCCACCTTTATTTACTTCACTACATAGAATACTACGACGAGCAGTCTTCTTACCCGCCCTGCCAATGGAGAATCAACATACAACATTCATTAAGGAAACATTTTTTATCATTTAATTATAGCTTTTTTGTGTCAAAATAAATTACATATTATTTTGTATATACATACTTGAACTGATAATTCATCACTTATGTAAAAAAAAAGTTGTAAATTGATTGAACAAACTTTTTATGTTGATAAAGATATAAATATATATTTTCACACTTTTATTGATTTTTTCGTATGATTGTTATTCTTTCAATAGTATCGAATCAATTGTTTTAGTTGATTACCATTTGAAAACGTAAAGCATACTTCCGATCATAGAGAATATTAAGAGCCCACGCATAACACTCAATGGTAATTAATCTATTTTGAGTTATATTTTTGAATAAAAGAGCCACTACCGGAGAAAGATATTCTGATTGTCCCATAAAAGGAAAATAATACACTGGAAATCCTCGCTCAGGGAAATATTCTACAAGTCCAACATGTTGCTTATCAAAGTTCGTGACGCCATCACATGATAACCAAACATGTGGCTAATTGAATAATTATATAATTATTAATCTATTCATAAATTCGTAAATAATAATATTCATTAGTTTTAACCTTCGTAGATGATTTTATTGTTACTTTCAAGTCTTCTGGCATTTCATTCGGTAAATCCGATGTATTATTATAACAAATTGGAATCCAATCAAATCGCTGTATATAATCAAAAATATTATTTATAAATAAGTAAATTAGTTGTCCTTGAGTAATTAAATAAATTTGTTACTTTGTTAAATTTTATATAAACACATGGCTCATAAGGTTTTGAATATCCATATGGATTTTCAGAGCATTTCCCAAGAACTTTTGTATCGAAGAAACAAGGTTTATCTTTTGAATATTTCCGAGAGCTGTTGACACATTCAATATTATATTTCGTCTTCTTATTAACGTCATTGTATTCTGTATAAAACAATTATCTGCTACAACTTAACTGTACTTTTAATTAGATTGTAAAAATGACATGTATTGTAATTCAAAAAGCCAGATAATTCTAGTTTTTATCGTAACTTATTTGACCTATTTTTTATATTGATTTTTATTTTTCGTTGGAATAAAGAAAACCAGAATTATCTACTTTTACTCCTCTTACGGTTCCCCTTTATAGAAGGTCGGAAATGAAATTTTTATTAATTCATGCTTTTGTTCGTCTACTGATCCATCATTCTATTGATCAGATTTCATTCAAAATTTTGAGGTTTTTGTTCATTTCTAAATCGTCAATATAAAAAATAACAGACTACTAAGGTGAAAGTAAAAAACAAATTCAATTACCTTTCATAAATCTATTAATATCTTCAATATAATATTGTTCTTTGTTATCTTGGTTCTCTGATAGCCAAATAAATGACATAGATGTATCAAACTTCTCTGTCCTTGGTATTAATCCTAAACCTAATATCAAAAAATGTATAAAATAATATTTTTCCAACCAAAAAAATGTATTAACGAATTGGATAAACATTTATCCTAACAACCTGGATAACCAAATCGTGTGAATGGTTTTTCAAAAAAAAGAAATCTAGCTTCTATGTCTGATTTAGCTATGAAAGCACTTTGTTCAATGTATGGTCTACCAAATTGAGTAACATAATCCAATGTAATCCACATTTGTAATGAAAATAGTGAAAATAAAACTCCAAAGAAACATAAATAAAATAATCCAACAGTTGCTATAATTATAATTAAATAACAACTTCAATTGATCAGCTAATCTATAGATCATTTAATGATTGTATCAAGAGATTTTTCATGAAATTGTTACCCCAATCCTTAGCTGTTCTGTCAAGAAAAGCACGTTTTTCTCCATCCCAAATAAATCTCAGAAAATTTCTGATAGCACCTAAATCTTTAACAGGTCTTCGGTTTTCATAATATTCTTCATCATGAATAATCATTTTCTGATAAATATCTCAAATAATAAATAAAACGATTTCTGTATTTTTTCTAGTTTAATTCAATTTTTTTATTGATTATCTTATATTTTTATCTCAATTATCACATCATTGGCTATCATTATTTCCGTCTTTTGTTTACATAATCATCACATTATCACAACTAATCAGAAAAAATCGTCTGTTCCGTAGACTTTGTAGCTGTATTTTTTTTTTAATGTTAACTTCTTTCAATAAAATCAATTATTTCAATTTAATAATTTATTAAAACACTATTCTTTAATTGAAAATTTTTTTATCAAAACATTTTATCAAACTTTTTATGATAATAACACGTAGGAAATTTATATCAACATCCAGTTTTTCTTGTTGATAATTATGTGACAGCCGATAAAGTTAATTGTTATTTGACCATCATATTTTATAAACAATTTCAATAATAAAAAAATTAATTTATAAAATTTTGATTCATTTTTCAATCGTTCATTTTAGTGCATCGTAATTCAATTGATTTTTGTGATAAAACTGGAACATTAATTTATTTAAAACGAAAACAATTTCAACATGTAAATATGATGGAGCCACTTGTTAGGAGAACAGTTTTACCAATAGCCATAGGGTAAAAATAAACAATCTAGAGAAAATTCTATATTAATTTTTTTAATGTTGGACACATCAAATCTGTTGAGAGAAATAAGAAAGGTAGGAGAACAATAAAGTGTCACCCCACTGATTCTCTGTATCTTTGCACACGTACACACCTGAATAATTGACAAGTTTCTTCAACACTCGGTTCATTCGAAATGCCACAGTATGTGTTATTGTAGACAATAATATATAATAAGTGATACTAGTAATATTAGTATCATGGTGATGGTGATGGTGTTGTTAAAATTAATAATTCAGTTTTATTATTAAATTTTAGGTTCAGTGCGTGTATCTACAACCTCACATAGTAATAGAGGAATTCAAGAACATTCAGTTACAAATAGTAAAAATTGTTTTTTCAATAAACGAATAGTATTTATTATTCGCGATTGAGTGATTGTATCGTTGATCTGTTTATTGTTGAATAATTTTATCTGACAAAATTATTATACCTAAAAGTTGATGTAAACGTTGAAAAATCCATAATCCGGCATTAGGCAGTAATGTTACAACAGCCCAAGGGTAGTTAAGTTTTATCATATTAATAAAAAAAATCATTAATTCAGAAAAGTTTGTGAATAAACTAAGACTTTACTCGTACTATCATAATTTAGCAGCCACAGAATATCATCATTAATCAAAATATCTAGTCGCAACAAATCATACATTTTTTTGTGCTATCTTTTGATATCCTCTGGAATAATTTTCAACACTTAAGATGCAGATACTTCTTTTCAGGCCATATCTACTCTGGCGGTAATTATGTATATTTCATATTGTTTATTTAAGAGAAACATAGTGCTTTGACAATGTATAAAAAATTTATCTGAATTATTGATTTTGAAATGAAATTAGGGAAGGGAAATATGGGAACAAATAGTAACACGATAAGAATAATATTGTTGTCATTTATTTGGAGAAAAAAACATAGGCTAGGTGAAGTTAATCATTCGTTGCTCGATCCTCTGAGATACTCAGAGATGTAGTGACTCGCGAGGTCGCAAGCTTGTCTGTGCTTTAGTGCCCCTTCAGGCTCCGCCCTTTCAATTTTATCTCGTTAATCCGAAACCACGATTTCATCCGCATTAATGGCAATGTCAGCGTCACGCATGCATACACCACGTTATAAAAATTACGTGAGAAGATTGTAAGATGAGAAAAAAATGAGGATGCTGAATCCAGGAGAGAAGGAGTTTGGAGTTACTGAAAAATGGATGAAAATTAAATTTAGGCAGACTCTTTCATTTTTTTTCTCATTCATTTTTTCATATTAACTTAAAAAAAAAAATGATTAAACATCGCTACAAGTTAGAATCATGTTTATTGACTGTAAATACTAGCTACATTATGCCTCATTAGAATCAGTAATTTAACATACACTAATAATTTAAATGTTTTTTGGCAAATTGTTAACTATGATTTACTAAACTTTTACATTAATATCCTATTATTTCGTAATACATTTGTTTATTTACCAATGGAATACAAAAGTTGAGAGGACCAACATTAACAATCAAATAACTTCATAACGACTCATATACGAAAGAATACTTTTGGCATAGTTCATGAAGAGTGTCATGTGATTTGGAGTTCTGCCATCTCAACACCTGATCCATTCTCAATAATGGAAACATTTCGAGATTCTGCCATTGCAGGTGCTCGAATAAGTATAAAATAAGACATTTCTACATAAACTCAAAAAACACCAAAAGTAGTCGTTTAAGTGGGAATTTTTCACTCAGTATTTCGATAGAATGTAATAATGGAAATTAATCTATGAAATTATCAAACATCTGAAATAACTACAAATGGCTTGATCAAGCTAACTATAATAAACTTTAATCCTTCAAGCTGAACGAGATTGCTGTACTTATGCTACGTGTTCACTGTTACTAATTTTAGATCATTTTCAATCTTCCATAGGTTCTTTAAACGATGCTATCGTGCTATTGCATTAAATTTTGCTGTGATAAATTTGTACTTGAAAGCAATTCGAGTATTCCAGATGTAAAATTACATTTTTTTCATTCATTAACTGGCAAGATATTGGATTGGATTTACAATATTTATTATTAATATAAAAATACAAACACCTTAAACATAAGAAAGAAATAAAAGGGGTGGGAGAGTTTGCATAGTAATATCATTATAAATATGTTGATGTATATAATGAGTTTGATAAAAGAAAAGCTACATGTATTTGTAATGAAAGATTACTCATCTGTTTTTAGTATTAATAATAACTCTTTAAATACATCTTAACATAATCAGAAATCTTTTATTGGACTTGAATTAAAATATGACATGACAATATACATGTGTTGAGTTATTAATAATTGTGTAATGAGAATTGGTGACTAATTGGTTTTTGTTTTTTTTTGTTATTTTAGATGAAAATAGAGACCACGGTGGATTTGACATAGGCAGATCTGCTCTACGACAGTGATCACTCGCAATATGGACGAGGGTCCTGTGCCGTAGTGATTCTGCCATGTTATTAACGCAGTCATCTGGAAATAATTTGTCAAATATGTTGTCAGCTGTAGAGGAGGAAGCAAATACTGACATCGACGATGTATTTCCACCGCATGTCGATATATCTAATATTGTTATCAACCAAGAATCACCAACGAGTAAAAAGCAAACTCTGAAAACATTCAATGAAATAAACACATTACTACAGGCAGGAAGAAAGCGAGAAGTCAAATTGATTCTTCGAGAAAATGCTTGGCCTCTTAATAATGGAATTAGAGCACAGTTATGGCCAGCCCTTTGTCAACAACATGCTCATGGTAAAAGCATTTTCACCAAAGCTGAAGATGGATTCTACTGGGGTATGGTGACAACTGTTTTTGGTACAGTAGGTGAGTGTATTTTTCATTTACATGAATGGATAAATAGATTTTTTTAGGACTGTATTATTAAGAATTTTGATAGATATATTTCTTTTACTAATTATTGATTATTAACATTGTAGAGTTGCCAGAAAAGTCAATAATGCTACCACCGTTTGTTGATAATACTCATTGCCTCTCATACCACTTGACACGGAAGGGTAGAAGTGTAGCTGACAGAGTGGTTTCGGTATTAGGCTATGCCTGTCCTGACATAACTTATAGTCCAACGCTTTATCCAATCACCGCGCTTTTACTCCACTTTATGACAGGTTTCTATCATTTATTACATATGTATGAAATTTAGTTTGTTATTAAATCGATGATACATAACATTATTACAGAGGAAGAATGCTATCATTGCATGGCGAGTCTTGTTGCAGCAAAAGAAAAAATGTTCATTACTCAAACAAAACTTTTATATGAAGTAACGTGGAAAACTGTTGAGCAAATAACAAAAAAACATGTGGTAAGTATCTCTTTATTTTATTTTAAATAGATAATTCATTGAATGACTTAAGTGTACAATCTTATTAAGTTAAAATTATTTCACAAAAAAGAAATCAGCTGCAGTGCATTTAGCGAGGCATTGCTCTGGTTCACGAGCGGAGAGAATTTATATGGATTGGATTTGGTGGATTCTTCAACTATTACCATTCCAACATCTAGTCAGAGTAATGGATTGTTTTTTACATGAAGGTTCAAAGGTAAATAAAACGTGTATATATAATTTATATAAATATCATTAAATAATACTGTTTTTTTTTGGTGAACATTAGGTTTTATATCGAGTAGCTATGGCAATTGTATTATTATTTTACAAACATTCATCATCACAAACGTCAGACTGGATGAACGAAATAACGAAAAATGGGGTTGATCCTGCGCTTACCAAATTTTGCCGTCAAATACCGGTAAAACATAAGTAACTTTCATTAATCTGTGTTTAAACAATTACCAATTATATTATTTACTAAATCGATAGCTTTTTGTAGGTAAGCCCAGCGAAAATGTTAAGGACTGCATTTGGTATTCGAGGACTGAGTTCTGCTTACATATCACGGGTATTTTTACGTACTGAAATGGCATTAAAAAGTAGAAGTGTACTCTCAGGCTCAAGATCTCTTGCAAGGTCACGATCAACGGACAATTTGCCTACAAGTCAATCGCAAGTTAACATTCAAATGATGTCACACACTTTAACAATTCGTGAGGTAAGTCATTTTAAATCACATTTACGTGAACAATTATTTTAGTATAAATAAAGTACTTTAAGATTGATTTAAATATTATATTATTACAAGCATTTCATACTCTTTTGATCTGCATTAATTTTCAATGGGTTTAATTGGTAAATTAATGCAGTATTTCAGATAAAAAAAATTACATTAATGATAAATTTACTCACTTGCCTATTACTCGACGATTTTTCTATAAAAGTCTTTTAATTTCCAAACTTACATTTTTTTTTCACAATCAATTTATTATTCTTGGCTATTTTATGTTTGTTGGTATGGTAATGGGCTAAACTAACTGTTTTGTAGGATATTTCTACTGTGATGTCCTTGTTGTGTTATTTAAATATTGACTTCGAAATAAAATTTTATTCGTATTGATCAATAGATATTTACAGTAACTGACAGAATTTTTATGATTATATTCTATTTAATTCATATTTGAAACGAAGTCGGAAGCGAATAAATATAATATGAATAAAGATTTAAATGGTTAAAAATACAAATAATGAATGAAATCAATTTAAAAAATCAAGTAAAACACGATTGGAATGAACCATTTAATTTTGATCGAATTTTTTTTCAATGATTTGATTTGTTTTCAGAAAGAGTGCGAAGACACATACAAAGACAGGGTATTGTATTAATATCTTTTTGGCAAATGTGTCGTTTATTTCATGTGCTATCTTTTGCCATTGTGACCTAAACAACTATTACCTACTGTACTTACATATACACACTCATTATTAGAACCGTCGTGTCAGCTTTGTCGCCGTTACTATTCTTCTAAATACATTGCATTTATATCAAATAAATACTATAATTATTATCATTATCATTACAGCCGCAATATTTCTTTTTCATAAACCTACATTTAGAATGTAGTCAATGACTGAAATAATTGCAAATTACGATTGAATTTGTAAACAATTATAATTTCATATTATAATTGGTAATATCATAAATAATATGACCACATCCTCGATAAAGCGATGTGTCTATAGATCAGTTAACAAAAACAAAGTTGTTTACACAAATCAAAATTAATTTTCATCGAATATAATTACAATAAAATCTGGTGCAGTTAATGTAGACAAAAGAAAAAAAGGCATAAGCCATTTGTAATTGATGTAGGCAATTGTTGTCTTGTGTTACGCTGCAATAATGGATTGATGACCGACTAAATAATTGGCAATGGACGTAGGGTGCTCATAGTCCTGGACCGCGTGCTCTGTCGATGGGAGTATATCCTATACAGACGATTAACTCCCAGATCTTAGATGTGCCTGATGTAAGTATACACGGGCGTTTGTTAAATCAATCAGTATGTAGTGACAAGAAATAAATTATCAATCAGATATCTGATATCGTTTGGAGCATGTCTCTATTATCATTGTTTACAAAAGTACTTTGAAAATATTTTAATATTTATTTATCTTTCGTATTATGCTTCTCAACGTTAATTTTATTTGTCAGTGATAATTGTATATCTTTGTTCTATATTATTTTTTATGTTTCTGTGATAATATATAAGAGTAAACCTATTGTAATTATTTGTATATACCTTAAATATCCTTTTTAATATATTGTCACATTTGATTGTTTATTATTATTTTATGAGGATAGTGGTCAATCATCTTATTTCGTTCATCTTTTTATATGTATTTAGTCCATAAATATACTGCCTTTTATTTTATTATATCGGCGTTATTAATATTTGGTGATAAAAATGAGATAAATAGATAGAAGTAGGCTATTATCTTATTATTATTAGGACATTTTCATCAACGTTTTATTTACTTTACTATTTTTTTATTTACACTTTTTAAACGCTCTGCTTTTCCATGCATTTTCATAATTCGAATTTTTTAATTATCAAAACCACTTTAATTTACTAATAATTAATAGTTCGAGTATTTGGCATGATTAAGTTTGAAGCATGAATTGATTTTTAATTCGTTGTAATCACATCATTGATACTTTGTTATAATATATTTTTTTTTTTCAGTATTAAATTATGAAATAATTATTATTTATCAGAATATGTAGATTATTCATGATAGATCATAAATTTTTTTCGGTAGTTTTAAAGTTTTTATGAAAATTCATAACAATGAAGAGCAAAAATTACAGATCTTATAACACTAATTACGTGCATGAAGTATTTTTATCATAGCTGAGTATATTTATAATTATTTTTAATGACGTTAAGTATTTTTGATATTGTATTGAATATTAGTTTATTTTTTGTTTATATATTAAAATTATTATATTGACGTAATTTTTTTTTTATCAACAGCTTTTCACACTTTGGTCATGGCTTCCTGTGAGAATAACAATGTATCAGCCTATTTTATTGTACACCACTGAAGAACACGGATGTTCACTAACAACATTTTATGTTCGAGTAGAACAACATGAGCCTACATTGCTAATGATTAAAACCTGTAACAATGAGGTACAAATGAAAAATAAAATTTCTATAAAAATTACTGTTTGAATTAATAATATATATATTACAATAATTTAGTATAAATTATACAAAAAGTACAAATGATGTCGTATTTTTTAAGGTTTTTGGTGCTTATTGTTCAACAAGATGGTGTGAACGTAATTTAAAGGACGACAAGGGACAGCGACAAGCTTATTTTGGAACGGGAGAAACATTTTTATTTAGTTTATATCCTGAACGAGCAAAATATCCATGGGTGGGTATGGATTCATCACACAACGACAATAAAGTGCACCATTCGGCTGAATTATTTATGGCTGCTGATGCAAAAATGATAACCATCGGTGGAGGGTAATTATTTAATAGTTTTAAGAGCATGATAATATAAAAATTAGGGGAATATCAATAAAAAAATCAATCATATTATTTATTGTTTACTAATAAAATATAGAGTAGATTTATAAGAAGTATTGTTTTTAGGGATGGTCAAGCTATTTGGATGGACGAAAATATTAGATTCGGAAAAACTGATCATTGTTCAACATTCAATAATCCACCACTGTGTGCTAGTGGTGACTTTGAAATTCGAGTTTTAGAAGTATATGGTTTTGCTGGGGCCTAAATGGATTTGTGTCCCATAAATGAAATAATCAATTAACTACTGCCATTTAGCAACTCTCTATGAATATATACATTACTATATAAATTGCTACTGATCTTTAATTTCGCTGTATAAGTGAACATTTGTGTATCTATAACCGCTTAAAAAATCATAGTATTATTAGGCTTGAACATGTCAACAATAATTTTTATGCAGATAACTAAATCGACAATGATAAATGCTAAAAAAAATGTTCAAGAAATTTATCTAATTAATTTATGATTGATTTACACTTCAGTTAAATTTTTTAGAATATATGTACATATATAAATATATATTAATATTATTAGTCACTATTACAGGATAATATTATTCGATATAATTTCGTTGTTATATATATGTAAACTGTTATATTAATAATCAAAGTAGTTAAGTCAAGTCAGTCTGAGGGGAACAATTCAAAATCAGACGTTGAATTGTATTTATTGATGAAAATAGAGTAATGAGTGAGATGATTATCTATTATAAATATTATTATAATAATTATTAATATTATAATTATAATTATTATATTTGAAAAAGCAAAAAACAAATAATATTTATATTACTTGTGTATAGGTTTTATTACTAATTCAAATGACTGTGCCTAGTCGTCAATATATTTTCTGTCTCATTACGTATGCATTGCATGACTTTTTTAAAATTAAACATATGCTATGGATTAGTTAAATTTATAAAATTCAAAAATTACATAAAACTACATAGTTTTGTGACTCCAATAATTATTTTGTAATACATATTTTCGTTAATAATATGTCGAGCCTCAAATTCATAGTTTAATGAAACAAATATTTTGACAATAATGAAAATAACATTTATTAGTAGCTTAAGTATTAGAAAGTTTATCGCGGTGTTCGACATACCGTATTTTATTCAAAGTTTTGAATTTTATTCTCAATACTCATTGGACCTGAACTAGTTCATATTTGTATATAATTTTTTTTTTGTCTTCATGTATAATAATATTATTTACAGCTATCACTGGTGTTTGTATAAATGTATTATTTTATATAATGTTTATCTCGACAAATTATTATATTATCTACCTGCAACTCGTTCTTTATCATTTTCAACAGTTATAGATTATATTAAACTCATTTATACATTAACTATTTGGATATAAAAGAGATAGACGAAATACAGTTGATAAAAACAAGATAGATTTATAATCGATTGTACTAGGGTTTAAAATTTTTTTATCTAATGACAGGATTATGAGAGATAACTGCAATCTATTATAAATTCTTATGTTATATGTTATTTGTATATATTTCTAAACTGTCTTCATGCTTTAATGCAATTTGTATTTCAGCCTTATGAAAAAGACCTAATTAGTTAAAAATGTCTGCATTAATGCGCTTCTTTCTTTTAAAGAGACATAAATGATAATAATATTAATAATAGTAAAATCATCATTATCATTAGCTCCATTATTATTATTATCATCATTATTATAATTGATGATAATCGAAAAATTAATATATAGACATAGATGTTAATGATAAAAAATTGTATGATTAGCATGAAGACATTTTTAAATAAATAGTTAACGATATCATTGCATATCAAAAAGAGATAAAAATACGTTATATATGTATGAGTATATAACTTTATGGTCAAAATCTTTATTTGTAAAATATCATTTGAGAGAAAAAAAAGATATATTGAACATGATTAATAAGTTAATGTAAAGAAATGAGTCGATCTCGAGCATATAAATACAACGATAATAATCTGTGTATAATTGATCAATGATTAAGTAGAAATAGCCAGTTTTAATGTGGTATGCAAATAGTATTATTGCATTAAATACATATGATCTTTATGTTTATCTGATGATAAAAGTATATCATTCAAATAGTTAATGATAGTATCGAGCAATTTTATAATCAGATATATATAAAATATCACTGAAAGTATACATATATACACATAAAAAATATATACTTATATAAAAAATACATACGCGTGAAAATAAAATACAAAATCATGAAGGCAAAGTGGAATTAGTATGGTGTGAATGATAGTCGTGACATGAATAAGCTAGTTGCGCTGTTATGTGTGTTTGTCTGTTACCAAATACATAACTGATATAAGCGGCCGAATCAGTATATACTTATTATACCTGACGACTTCGATACGCTATGTTACAATCATTATATACTGGTAAACTTTTCTCTTCAGTTGAGCGTTAAAAGTCGAAACGTACAGTTGCGATTTCTCTTTTTTCGAGTGCCATATATCCACAATTCTAATTATATACCTAATCGTTTTTTTAAAATGCTGTAATCACTGCACGATTTCTTTAGCTTATCTTTCTCCATATACCATTTATTTTATATTATATTTATTTAAATACTGGATTTAAAGAATTTTTAAAAATTATTACTTTTTTATTTAAAATACATTGTTCCAACAACGATGGGAAATTTCACGTGTTAACGAGTGTTTTTCAAATAATTGGTAATCATGTTCGAGTCCGAAGGTTGAAGATAACATTCATATTTTAGAGATATCAATGCCGGGTATGTTAAAACAATGTAAACTTGCATTCTTTTGTTTTCTTCAACTGCTTATATTTGTGTATTATTTTTTCATTTATTTAAAGCAATATATTTAAATGTGATCGATCATTAAGAAGATTGAAAATGGAAATACATAACTCAATGTAGATTAAAGGAGATTAAATAACTATGAATATAAATATAAATATTTATGTAATCTTTTTTTATTCTATTATTTATTGATCATTTTTTTGGCCTTTGTATCTCCTAGAATAAAAGTCTAAGAAGATAAGCACCTGCAGTATGTCATCGAGTAAAGAAAAAAGTCAATGTCTTGTAATACGACACAAAACAATTTATTGTGTATTGGAGGCTTCTTTTATTGTTCATGAAGGCCAAATGATGTTTCATAAATTAAATTCATGAAATAACAATGATTGATATGAATATTGGTATTGTTTGAAATACGTGTTCAGTTGCTACGTAGAAAATTCATGTTATTGCAGGTGTTGTATTTTAATATTTATAATGTTGTAGGGCTTTTAATAAGAAAAAGAATGTACAAATTTGATTGAGAAAGTAGCTCTATTTAATTTAGATTTTTTTTCGGTGTTAATATTTTATTTATTTACAGAGGAACAAAATAATAAAGTTATAATGGTTGGAACTAATAGTGCAAATGTAAATAAACATATTGAAGAAAAGTTTCCATTAATGAATACGAATCATGCCAATAGAAGGAGTAGTATAGCACTTCTGAATTTACCTACAAATTTAACAGTATTTGGATCCTCTGATGGATTACCTTTTCAAGTCGTTGGCTCAGCAAGAAGAAGATTAAGTAACGTTGGTGATGTTGTATCTAAAAAGATATCACATACAATAGGTTGGAGATCTGTTTCTGCTTCTATTGAGCTGGCTGTTATGCAGGTTGGTGTATTAATTTTCGATCATTAGGTTTTATAAATTCTTTATTTCATCGAAAAGATGTGTCCTTTTTAATAGGGATCAGCATTATGTGGTCAGTATATCAAAAGTCGATTGAAACGGTCTGGAATATTCCAAAAAAAGCTAGGATTAAAACGAATGAGAAGTGGTATAATGACATCTGATAGTACAGTGATAGCAGAAGTATATCCAGTATTAATTGCTCTTGGAGCAGAGTTAGAAAAGATGCATCCAAATTTATTTGTCAAAATCGCACGTCAAATTGGTTGTGGTTCTTTTTCTACGGAACAAGCAACATCTGAAGCAATCACGGATGTTTCACGTGAAATGTTAAGGTCTGGTGAGATGACTTGGAGCAAAATAGTAGCTCTGTATGCCGTTGCTGGAGGCATAGCTGTTGATTGTGTCCGTCAAGGAAAACCAGAATTAATTGCAACTATCCAAAGAGCTATGACTGAAGTTCTCGAAGAAGATTTAGCATCATGGATACAAGCTAATGGTGGATGGGTTTGTATTAATTAATAAATTTTTATTGAAAATATTTTTTTAATAAAACTGAATTATTCATTCATTAAAAATACCCATAAAAACTTTTAGATTGCTTTAAGTACAAGATGTCGGTCTATTGAAGATGATTCTATGTGGCAGGAACAAAATATTGTATCACTTACTGTTCTGGTTACAATTTTTATTGGCGCTCTAGTAATACTTATACGAGTTTTAGTATTTTAATCGTCAATAATTTCGTCATCTTTCTTAGTTTCTATTATCTCTGGTTCTGTGATGGCGTTATTCTGGATTAAAAAATTATTATTGTTTATATTAATGATTTTTAATAAATTAAAAATAAATACTAATGAAAAATGTTCAACTTACTGATTGAGCAGATTGAGCGTTTTTATTCATTAAATTTAAATAACTAGCATTTGTTTCTTCTTTATTTAAAAGTAACAGGTACTTTTTTCGCGCTTCAAGAATCTTTTCAGTCGGTTTTTTATGTCTTAGGACGAGTTCTAAAGCTCTAGATAAATTTGATTATATTTTTCTATTAATCATAATTATATTTGAAATTAAATAATAATTATTAATGAGTTACGTACCGATTCCAGTTATACATTTGAAGATTCATTTGTATTGCTTCATCAATGAAACCATGTTGCAGAAGAATTCCTTCTGCTGTTAATAAATCACCCGAAAGTAAAGACATTTCTGCCAATTTTATAATTTTGTTATCGATTTTCTTTAAAAAAAAAGGAAATTCATTGAAAAAATACTATTTACCAATCGAGCGTTTGTAGTTAAGAATAAAATCTAGCTCACTTGTATATATTGAATATAATCAACTTTATCATATCTTGCAATTGCAGCATATGCTTCTTCAGCGGCGTTTAATTGTTTATTTTCCGTTGCCATTACTGCCATACAAGTCCAAAGAGTTTCATTCTGAATAAAAAATTAATAATTATTCATTGCAATACTTAGTAAAAAATTTCCAAAAAAAAGTAACAGTCATTATTTTTACCTGCGCAATACGACATAGAGATAGAGCTTCTTGCCATTTACTATCCATGATATATTGATGCAATGTTGTGAAAAATGTGTAAAATGAAATCAACATTAATGCACCATCTCCACGCCGTATTGTTACTGTACCATTTTTAACATTAACGATATGCGGTTGTTTACCAAACTCGCTAGATTTAAAAATCAATCATTAATTTATTCATTAAAATGTAATTGTAGTTAAACGTTTTTTCCATACTTGATTTCTTTATCTATGCGGGTCTTTCTAATCATTTTTCGATCACTGTAATGAACGCAACTTGGACAAAGCCAGATAGTAAGAGTAGCATCTAGTACTGCTGTTAGAATATTTGAATCTATTGCCCACGCAATACTTTGAGTCATTGCAGCTAAAAATTTTATGTAATGTTAATGAGGAATTATAATATCTTTAAAACATTTAGAAACATTAAATACCTATTTTACAAAGCTTTCCAAAACCACTCGCTTTAATAGTTATCAAAAACAAATCTCTATTGATATCTATAAAAGCTAATTGACGTTCATGAGGTCCTCCAGCATAATTGATTGCCACTTCACTGATGTTACATGTATGAGAATGCGGTTGTGCTTCAGTTATTGGTTTATTGTGGGAAATTTCAAGAATGTGTAACACTGTAAGAAAAAAAAATTGTAATAAATTATTTTATCAAATAAAATGTAATAAAATAGTACATTTTTCGTTGGTTTGGTCTCTCACAACCAAGGTGTCAGAACAAAGGGCAATACAGGGAGGATAAAGTGGCTCTTGTGTCATTCCTCTCCACTTTGGTACACTTAACAAACGTCCTTGATAATTATACAATGTCATTGAATTCCAGTCGATTAAGAGAAAATGTCTGAAATTTTGTAATTTAATAAATATTAGACGTACAGTTTTCAACTAAAAGAAAAAGTGATAAATTCATTAGTCATACTTCTCAGCAAGAATGACAGCAGATATTGAGGAATTTTTTAAATCAAATATGACCGGTGTATTCCAATTAGTTGAAGAATAAATATGACATTGGTTCGTCGTAATGACAACTAAATGATCAAATGCAAATTCTAAATGAACAACTTTATCAGCTATGTCAAGTATTTCTTGAGAGTTATTGATAATGTCTTTTATTTGAATTTTTTTTCGTTTTATTAAAATAGCTTCATAATTATTCCACTCGAGCCTCCTAAAAAAATCATTGATGTATTTTTTTTTTTTTTTTAATTTTTATGAATTATACAGAAAATAATTCATGATTATTTTGCTTGATTACCTGTCTATAACATGAGCTATTAAAACACTGCTATTTCCACAGGCCATAGCAACTTGAGTACTGTCATTAGACCAAGAGATGCTATAGATACTACCGGTATTTACTTTTTCCAATGAATACGACCACTGAAATGAACATAAAACTATGTATATTATATCATAATTGGTTGTTAAACATTTATAAGATAATTTTTTGCTACTTACACCGGTTTTATCACATAATTTAATTGTATTGTAGGATCCAACCGCAAAATATTTACCGTTTGGGCACCAATTAACACACGTTACAGGATATTCAGTAGCTGCACTACTGAATAATTGATTACCGTTGTCATCCCAAACCTATCAGTTTTTTTACATTAAAAATTTAAATTAAACCTATCATTTCTATCATTACTTCAATCATTCATGATTATTGTATAAATTCTTAATTTAATATGATATCATTTTTTTTTTTTATAAAATGTTACCTTGTAACGACAGTCTTCACCACCTGATATTATTAAATTATTATCTCTATTCCATGATACAGATAGAACTAACCCTTCATGGGCATGCCACTATATATAAAAACAGAATTTTATTCATCAATTATTATTGTATAAAGAAAATACTTTTTAAATTTTACTTTTAATTACCTTTCGAGGTTTTGAATTAAAATTGAGAGCTTGGAGAGATAACTGTGAACCTTGGGAATATAAAATAGTATTACAATTTGGGCTCCAACTGATTGCAAAAATTGGTAACGATTCACGAACCGCAGTCGATCGCAACATTCCACTTTTTGACCAAATTTTGACAAATCCATCTTCACCAGCTGCCAGAAAAAAATATTATAATACATGCCAAAGTATATTCAATTGCTGTACAATAATAAATTGTTATACTTACCAGTTAATAATGCTGAACCATCATAATTCCATTTTCCACTTAATACAGCTCCTTTGTGGGCATCAACACTTTTTTCTATACGACCATTTTTATTTATTAAATGGAATTTTCCTGTAATTCAACATTTTTCCGGTATTAGATTGAAGCTTTTTATTAAAAAAATTATAAATAAACTTTCAGGACATAATAATTTAAACTTGAATAATTTATTGCTATGCGCAATTTTTTTGCGCATATTGCAAGTAAAATTTGATTAAAGTAGTAGAAGTAGAAATGAAGAAAGCGTCATTAGAGTAAACTCTCGCTAGATGAGAGCGTCATTTTCGGAAGAGATTTAATGTTTTTATTTATAATATAATATTAAGAGAAAAGGATGATGTATATGTTGCATAAGAAACTTTAATAGAAAAGGTAATTCTTTCTAGCATTATACTTGCCATCAGCGGTCGTAATTAGAAGAATATCATGTGATTGTTTCTTTATACTTGTTCCATTGTTTTGTATGGAGCGAGGATGCCACTGCATATCAGTCGGATAAAAGTTAACAGGGAATTCTGTGACAGTTGTTGGATGAACAGATCCACCATCTAAATGCCAACATATTAAAAGGTGATCTTCCCTGTATAGAATAAGAGGTAATATTTATAAGTAAAAGCAACAATTACGTTGCACATAATACGTCGAGTAGCTATCCAATTACTCGCTTAATAAATCTCTTTCTTTGTTTTGTTGTTAAAAGTATATAACACATATTTTTTTTTATTACAGGTATGTGTATATTCATAATTACGTAAAACTCACCCACAAGAATAAATTTCTTCGACTGAATTCCAAGCAATACCCGTAACAAGCTTACTATGGCCATTCTTATTCCATAAAGATACTTTAAATCTCATTTTATTTATAACAAACAATTAACAAATAATATATTCCTGATGTTCTATGACATTTACAACGTTCAAGTACAATGTTATGTTATGAGTAAAATAGGAGTTAGGTTTCTCGATTGTCTCCATAGAGACAGTAATCAAAACACTGACAAAAGATTAGAAAATATAAAAAATATTGACACTAAAAGTTGATATCTATTTAATTTTTCACAATGACAATTGTGTATTAATTAAAATTAGATAAATAAACTTTTGCAATTTAACAAATATTAAATCGATATTTAAGGTAAAATTGGAAATAGGAATTTAGGTTAACAACCAATGCTTTTAAATAATAAATGAGAATTTTTTTCACTTTATTATTATTATGACAATAGATTTCTAATTTGGCGAATAAAATTATTTTTTATTTATTTCAAAAAATTTAAACAAATACTTCTTTGCAACAGTTGACAAAAGAGAATTTATTATTAGCAATTGTAAACTTACAGTCGGTAATCTACTATCAAAAGGTAATAAAGATTATAAAAATTTTTTTATTAATTAAAGATATGTAATTTTCTCAGAAAGTATAATAATAGAGTTAGTTAACAATGTATTTAATACAAGCAGAGTACTTTAATGATTTTCTATATAAATGAGTAATTTAGTTAGTACATTACAAAATTACAATTGTCAGTATAATAACAATAATTATTTTTGTTATTGTTAATATTGTGATTATGATTATGATTATGATTATTATTAGGTTGTACCATGACCTCCTTTTACACTGAGCTGCACATGCAATGATACTAACCAATTGCGAAAACATTGGCCTGGAAAAGGCCCTCGTGAGGTAACTTGGCATACACACATACACAATTGATTCGGTCCGCAGGAAATGCGCATTCCTCGGGCATTATCCTACGTAAAGCTCTTCGTTCTCTTTCTCTTTTGCTCTGGCGACGTCGCCAAGTCCACGCGTTCTTCCAATCTACACGTCTTTCCCCACCGTATCCAATAATGCACTGAGGGCGCGCCTTTGGTCGTTCGTTACAACCAAGGACATGTCCAGAAATATCCACTTTATCCACTTTTCGATGTACAAAGACAGTTAATGTTGAAAAGTAGTTACAATTTATCGAACAATTTGATTCCTTACCTCTTCTAAAGTCATGCTCACATTTTACTGTAATAACTCAACGGAGATGAAATATTCATGAATAGTTGTATTAATTATAATACTTATTACATTTACTGATGATTATTTTTTTTTTTTTTAAATTAAATATTGAATGAAATCAATGTCATAAAGTGTGAAACTTTATTTGCTAGAATTTCATTTGATCGAACTTTATTTCTAATCTCCAAGTTTTGTTATTTTTGCATTTAAATATTAATGTTTATTGAAATTTTAACAGCGAAGATTCAAATCATTCAAGCGAATATAACATACCAGTTACATGAATATCAACTCTGCTAGTGTTCGTGTCAAAATCAATATTTGGCGTCACTGGGTTATGATAACGCGGCTTGCCTGTCGGGCATGTATGTACTGTCTATCTCGTTGCGCTTTTAGGTGAAGCGACAGGCGAATTGCATTGGTTTGCGGCTCGATCAAATTTTATTTTACAATTTATAATCAACATATTGAATAGCAACATCTTTAATGACTTTTAGTTTTTAACATATTGAGTTCACCCTCATAATAAATAGATAAATAAATAATATAACTTTAAGAATTATTTTTATTTTCTAAAATAATTGGTTAATAGATATTATCATCAGTTGATGTAACTATTATGGATAATCTTCATTAGTTGATATCATCTATTACCAATGCCTCGATCTTTTATTCATTGCAAATATCGATCAACTTGACTGCTATATGCGTGTGTACACACTACTGTTACGTTTATCCTCATTGCAGACATTTCACCCTTATTAAACCTTTACTCGAGGGAGAATTCGGTACGTAGTGCATTTAACCCTACCTTAGTTTCAATTGAAACTTAATTATTCACACTCTCAACTTCAGAGTCCGATTACTCAACACAGCTACTAATTACCCTCGAATTATTACACATCTATACAAATCACCTCGGTTAATGCTGGTCTATTTTCTTTCTCTTTTTTAATATATGTATATATGTTTCGATATACATAATATAGCTTTTAAAATATTCCTTTAAAATTCATACTTTATTTATAAACATTATCACAACTAATAAATCATATTTACATTGATTATCTATTGCGTAATACAAATTGACTTCAATAAATGAGTACGATTTGATTAGATGATTGAAAAAAAAAAACATTAGATATAAAGTGATTGTAAAAATATGTTAAGGCTTTACAAAATTCCAGTTACATAATTTTTGGGATTTGGGGTTGAACACAACAAGGGGTAGAAAGTTTGTGAATGTCGTTTTTACCCACTTTCTCAGTCTCTCACAATGCTGATTATATCAGTAGATAATGCTATATAAAATGTGCATATATATATTTTTATATGTAAAAGCTGATAACTTTTATGTTTAAAAATAAATATTTTTGAAATGTCTAAACATAAACTCAATTAAACTACGGTTATAACATCGTCATATTTATTTTGTTACAAAATCATTTCCTCTGCAGGAAATTTAGAGTGTTAAAATTGTATTACTTTTTTTTTAAATCTTAAATGAATATTTGATTTATCGTTTATGTTTTTCTTATTCAATAAAATCTTTAATATTCACAAAGTCTGAAATTGAATTTAATATTCCAAAATGAAGAAAAATAATAAATTTTATTTTAAATAAAAATGAAATTTAACATTTGATGGGAAATTATTTTTAAAATTTATTTATTTTAAAAAGTATTTTTTTATTATGTAATGACATCTTAAGCCCTAAAAGAGCTGGTTAAAAATACATACATCTGTCAAGTTAGCATTAAACGAATTAAATTAGATTTAAGCTGAGTTAAAAAGCATAGATTCATGTGATACTTTTTTTTTGGAGTATACTGTGATTATTTGACTATTGAAAGATTATTCCATGTATGTATACTATATTGTACACTCTACTTTTGATACTTTGATGTTCTCCTGTTCGATCTTGGTATGTTTTCTGTATATACAAAACAGTGTACTAGAATAAATATATATATTTTATATGTATATACATGTTATATAGTAAAGCATATGTTATAGTTTGTTACAGTAGTGTAAAGGAGTAGCTTGGTGTGAACATTCAAACAGTTATAAGCACATACAAGCGTACGTATGTAAGTAGATGGCGCGGGTAGATATCTATCACGTCTTCTATATCGCAACAGATGCCTGTTGCTACGCGGCCGAGGGCACGGTCATCCCTTTACTCCCCCTCTCGCCCCTGCTATTGGCTTTTTACTCGCTCTAACTTTTCATTTGTGTTCATCTTAGTTAGACGTACTTTCTCTCGTTATTTTAGCTTTGCACATGCACTTACATATTTTCGATATTTCCACTTATTCTGACATAAATTCGACTTGTCGAGACGACGATTGGGTTTCTGTGTAGTTAAAAATTGATGAAAATTACTGAAAATCTTAGGAAGGAAATAGCAAGGATATGCTAAAAAGAGGGAGGAAAAAATACGAAAGTAAAGAGATGTCAAATGAAGGGAGTATGAAAATAAAAAAGGTAAAAAAAGTTTGTCGTGAAAAACACGAAGCACCTCTCGCGCTATAATTAAGGACCGTCAAGGCATCGATCGTGGGTTTATATACGTATGTATATATTTCGACGAGAAGAAACGTGAGATGCTAGAGTGTGCGTGTGTTTGCAAAACCTTGAGGGGGTGGTTGGAGGTGTGCGTGCGCGTCGACGTTTATGCACCTGTGCATCAAGAAATTGGTTGTAGTTGTGATGGTATTAGTGAGCTTTCGTCGTCGTTGGCCGAGGAGGTGTTCCCGAACCTACCCTAAATCGAAGAAGCATGGGACACACCCTGGAAGGAAATGGTAGGGGTCTTTTAAAGCAACCTGGGATGGGTCTCGCGATGAGTTCTGGGAGTTGTGCGCGTCCTTACTATACCCTCCATATCGTGTTATCCCACCCGCTTCGATATCTTATTTCGCTTCTATCCTCACCACGGAACACGCTTTTCCAACATACCTGGCCACCCCCTGAGTACCGGTTTACGGATTGCCGGATCTACGGAAACAGTGAGAAGAGAGAAAGGTATACAGGTGTATGGATCATAATAGAAGATGCCGTAGAAGAGGCGGCAACGCCCATTTTTTGATAAGCTAGTTACCCGCCACCCCGAACCGTTGTGGGGTGAGTCGGCGTGGTTGACGCGCGAGCAAGAAGGAAAAGAATGCGCGAAGCGACAGAAAAGTGAGCCAACGTAAGCAAGAGAGAGACGATGGATGTGTATGGAACGTTGATACTAAGTGAGAAAGAAAATCAAGGGTGAAAAGAGAAAGAGAAAGAAACAAGCAACGAAGAAGGGTAACGGGAGACCGGCGAGCGGCTTCCACGAAGATCAATAACTGCATAAAAATAAAGTGAGGCTCTGGCCCGCTACCTTTAACCCACCGCCATCCTCTTGTCTCTAAGTGTGTATACTCCCACCCTTCTTTTTCTTCTTCATTTCTTCCTTCCTTCTTTTTCATCATCACCTTTTCCTTTCAAACTTGTCTTTTCCATCTTTTTTACACATTACTTTTTCGCATTTCTTACGCATTTTTGATACCTTTTTACATTTGTCCACACATTTATTCCCTTTTTGACTCAAAACGTAAGAATCTACAAGTACTATACCTCTCTTCTTGAGTAACAAATTTCTTGCAACATCGAAATTGATGCATATTCAATTCTTACATTTTTTAGTTTTTTTCGCACATTCTTACTCATACTGACAATTACACTTGCTTATGTACAGCCATTTGTATACAAAGTTATGAAATAATTATTATCAATTATCAGATGCAAAGTTATACATGTTGATATTAATTATATCAATGTTTAGTAATTTTTCTCTTTCTTAAAGTATCTCTCTTTATTTCAAATTTTACATTTCCGGGTAAGAAATTAGGCTCGTGGAACATAAATAGTTCTATATCATGCATAAGGAATAAGCGTGCGAACACAACAGTTTATGAAGATTGGCTTCGAGGAAACAATTTTAATAAGATGGTGTCAGTAATGTTTTTTTCCTCCTAAGTTTATATAACTCGAATTTTAGATATTGCGGTAATTAAACAGATATTTTATTCATAAGATGATGCATTCAGCTGATATCTGTTGCATTAGACGAGTTGAGAAGTCTTTCATAAGAAAGAAAAAAAAAGAAAAAGCTCACAGGAAAACACAAAGAAAAGATGATAAAAGATATAGTGGTTTGTATGTAAAGGAAGTTAACCCCATTGGCATAGTTGGATTTACGCTACGTTTTACTTGCATACTGGGCGGCTCCGGGCCTAGTATAACTGCCGGAAAGTGGATATTACGTTCTCGTAACCGGAATAGAAAACGATTTTCTAAGGTGCAACGGGTTAGGGACGAGAAACATAGCAATGATCGTATATACTTCATATAAGATGTTAAAAAATTTTCTTTACATTATCTTCTGATGGTTCTTTGATCATGCTAATCTTTCCATTTCCATATTTGAATAGACCTTTACTTTACCAAATTATTCATCTTCAATTCTGAAATTTTAATAAGCTTCCGTTTTTTGAATAAACAGAACATCTTTACTTATTTTTGAAATTAATTTTTTTTCAATAAAAATAATAATTACCTTCTTGGTTACCTTCGTGGCAGGTCAACAAAATTTTTCAAAATATTTTTTTAACTTTAAGGTTTAAAGGTAAATAGATATGAATGTACTTGTTAGTTGAAAACATAGTCTTAATTATGTTTGAAGAGCTTTGATAATACCATTGGCTTATTTGTGATAAAAATCCAACTTTTGCGAAAGGTTTAGAATACATAAAAAGTAATATCACTTTTTTATTCATGATTATTTTTTTTTAACTGATCGTATAATAATAGATAAAAACTAATTAAATCACACTGTTAGTAGTCATGAA